CCGTTCCGGTTCGCGTCGGGTTTTGGCTCGGCGCGGCAACGCTACCGCGGCGGGGCGGTGCTTGCTGGCCCCGCTCCGGGCGCTGCGGTGTGCCCGCACCCTGCCGCTACCCGCAGCCGCCGCCGCGCCCCGATCCGCGGTGCCCGTCGGCGCCGCCTCCCGCGGGCGCGGTCCGCCGGGGGCTCCGGAGTCGGGGAAGCCGCCCTCCCCTGGCGGACCCCTGAGGCAGGTGGCGGCTCGGCCGCTTTAAGGCTGCGCCTGCCGTAACCCGAGCATCCCGTGCGGGAAGGGCTGGTCTCGCCGCCACGGCTGGTCTCGCCAGGCACGGCTGCAGATCGGCCCCGGTAGCCCCGCTTTCAGGTGTGGCGGGCCGGGAAAAGTGGGCGCTCACTCCTCTTCTGTCTCCCCTCCCGGCTCCGTTAGCCGGCGAGGACGAGTGGACGGAGGCTACGAAGCGGAGGTAAAGGCGCAGGGGCGGCGCAGCTCAGCCCCTTCGTCCCCACCCCTGCCGGGCTGCGCGGCGGCTCCCTCCCTCCGTTACTCCCTCCTTCCCTCTCTCTCTCTCGGCGACCGCCCCGCACGGGGCCGCCCCCAGCCCGCGGGCCGCAGCCGGCGGCGCTGGGGGCCGTGGTAGCGTGGAGCGCAGCGGACGTCTTTCTCCCGCGGCCGACAGCAGGGTTGCCCTCCGCTCGGGCCGGCCCTGCCCCTGCCCTTACCCCCGCCCGCAGAGTCCCGCCGCTCCCGGCTGAGCGCACTCCGAGGTAACGCGGCCCGGGGCCGCTGCTCGCGCGTTCCTGCGGGGCTTCGGTGCCGCGCCTCGGGACCGCTCGGGCTGCGCTCGCCGTATCTCCGAGAAGTTCTCTCTTTCCTTCCTTCTCTCTTTCCCCCCTTTCTTCCCCGCTGAGAACTTCTTGCAGTGTGTGAGGAGATGGATGTTTCGGATAAATGACATAGCAACACGTAGCTCGCTTCGGTACCAAACTGCGTCGCGTCGGGTCGCTGCCACGGCGCTCCGGAGCATAGCCGTAAGTGGAGCTTGGCTGTAAATGTCCTTACATAGAACAGGGAATGTCTTAACCTACGATTGTTATTGCTTTTCTTCGTGTCTCCATTCTTCTGCTGCGATGTGGTAGGGATATTTCCTGCATTTCCTACTGAGCTAACAAATGTAGTTCCAAGCTAATCAGGGCAGTAGAAGCTGCGGTTCAGACCCAACAACACTCGAGCATTGCAGCTGGTTTATTATTAGGTTTAATATAATGTGTGCCAACAGTCAGCAGTAGCACAGAGTTCTTTGCAAATTACCATAGTAAGGTTTACAAGGGTTGGGTTGAGCTGTGAGTTTTAACCAGACCAGGAGAGCACGGTGCTGAGCGGGATGCCCTGGTATTGCTCGCAGTTTTACCACGTTATCTTGTTTGGAAAGTGATCCTGTGTGTCTTGCAGTTCAGCCTGGCAGAGGTGAGGGCTGTGGGCCTTGTGTCTCATGCTGTGCCTACACACTGGGTTGTGGCAGGGCAGCGTGTCTTACTGTTCTGATGGGAAAGGCTGATGTGAGCAGAGGAACAGCAATCTGAGCAGGACATAAATGCCGGGTGCCATTGATGGTACAGGTGCTGGATAACTCCTCCTTTATGCTCTCAGTAAGTGCTGGCAAGAAGCAAGAAGCTATCAGAAGTTGCTAATTGTTTCATACTGGAGGTGAATGAATTCTGAGTTTATATATATCTACTTAATGGTTTTCTTTTCTGTTTTTTTTTTTTTTTTTTTTTTTTTTTTTTTTTTTTTTTTTTTTTTTCTCCCTGATTTTCAAGTAGAAACAGAATGTGAGGAATAGCACGTGGTATTAATACCAGATGAAAGGATTGTATTTTCAGCTCTTTCTGAGTACGACTGAAAAGTGATGTTATTAGCTCTTTCAAAATTAGTGGGGTCGGTAGAACAGTTTGATACTGTGCTGCTAGAGTGGTGCCTGACTAACACCTTTCTCACTGTTGTCAGCTTCCAGTGTTTGATAATATTTATTTATCTAAAGTCTACTTTGAAAGATGCAGGAGTGAAGTTGTAATTACTGTCTAGCTCAGTGGTTAAGACAATAATCTGGGTAAGCCAGGAGAAGACTGCTGTTCAATGACTAATGGTGAGGATCCAACACTGTTACATTACTCTTTTCCTGTGTTGCAAAGTAGTTACACCAACTCTCCCTACTATCAGCTGGCTGAATGGTAATCAATGACTGTGCAGTTTGGGGGATAAAGTGTCTGCTCATATATAATCCATGCCATTCTGTGTCCAGGTCGGACTCTGCTGGAATGACATGAGAAAATACTGGGGCAGAGAGCCACAGCATATTTGAAAGCTGCTTTTGATTTCCTAACTTTGGCTCTTCTCCTTGAGGCAAAGAAACTGTATGTAATCAGAAGTGTATTATGGTTGTGTTTTTGTTTTTTTGTTTTTTTTGTTTGTTTGTTTTGTTTTTTTGAAGTTATAAAGTTTAGTTCAGCAAGGTGAATGACTTTTCTTACTTAAAACAGAACATGGTAAGCAACACTTAATTTTCATGGTGAGTAGGACACAGTTGGAAACAGCTTAGACATATGAGAAAAAGTCTATAGCTGAACTGTTCTTCTGTCTCATATAAACACGGTGTTTGCAGGTGGTCCTTGAAGTGAATTAAAACACAGCATTCTTTAATTTTCTGAAGTAAAATATGGAATTATTCCTGGACTTTGGCACTTGAGCAGTGTTTTGATAAGGCACGTATGAAATCACCTTCTGAAATCAGTATTGCAAAACTCTTCAGAGTATCTGTCGGAGCAACCAGGCACCAGGCGACTGGTTTCTCCTCTGCTGCCATGGTACCTTCCTTGCCAGCATCCCATTTCTGTACTGCTGCCGTAGGTGCTGGGAGGTGTATGTACATCATACTTTAAAGTCCGAGCACGCACTTTCCAATGACTGCTTTTTCCTAAATTCCCTATACGATGTCCATAGAAGAAAGATTAGAAGAAAGGTTAACTCCTTGAAAGTCATTTCTTGCAGTGAATGGCTGGGAGTCTTCTGTTTAATTCCATCATCTCCTGTACTAAAATCAACACCCGCCATGCACTGAAATATCACTTACCTAATGAACTCTTCAGGTGCTGAGGAGTGCTGGTGCTGCAGGAGAAAACTCTTGGACAAAAGAAAGCCATATTCATGTCAGTGCTTTTGAAAATCAGAGGTATTGGCATAGCCATTGCAGGTGAATACAATTAGTAGCATAAGAATTATCTTCTAGTTAAAAGGATGTAGGAGAGGACTTCCTACAAATTAAACAATGTGATAACAAAGTTCCAGCCCCAGGAACGCAGCCTGGAATGGGCGCCGCTCAGTGCTCCTCAGTGGGTTTACATCAGAGGCTATAAAATTGAGGTGATTGATCTATTCCTTTAAACTGAGTATTAGAAAATCAGACTTAGCCCCCAGACTCTCCAGTATTAAAAATTGCATAAAATTTGATTTGTTTTTTGTGTACTCTTCGACAATGGAGAAATGTAGGGAGAATGGTATGGAAGTGCTTGAGAGAACATGGCATGTATGGGCTAGTGTTTGAAACCAAAGTTCCAGTACAATATGTTCTAGAGTAATCCACTGCTGAGCTAGAACTGGTCATCAGATAACCAGGGTGCATTGCAACATGTATGCTTTCAAATTTTAATTTGGAGTAAAAGTGCTCTTTATGAACTGAACCTTCTCATTGTGCTCACTTAACTGTAGTTTGGGTTGGGTTGCATTGCAGATCTGGAGCATGTAGGCTGACTTCTCAGTGTTAATGTAAAACATGTTTCCATACATTCAGTCACCATCTACCCTACATACTTAAATGACTGTACCTATTTTTTTTACAAGTTGCTATTTTAAATAAAGGACTTTTATTCCTTTCTTTCATTTGTTCTCCCTGGTGCTCATTTCTTTTCATCTGCAATGCAGATATAATTCCAAAAATCAAATGCATGTTCCCTCATTCCACAATGCACGTGAAGTGAATGCGGACAACAGTGTATTATATCATTCTATCAGTTTTTTTTTTTTAATGTTTTTTGTTTTTTTTTTTTTTAACCACCGGGTTGTTGTAGTAATATCAAATTATGCTAACCTGTAAGCTTTCATTTTGTTTTTAGATGTGACAGCAGTCAGCTAAATAATGGTCTAAAGAGCCATCTAAATAGTTTAAAACAAACCATTTGGATTGTGAGTGTTTTTTTTCCAGTTTGTGTTCAACTTAATACAAATTCACTTTTGTAAAAGTTTGTGGCCTTTGCGAGTCTTGGAATATAAAGCACTTCACACACATCAAACTGGAGATGTGTGACAGATGTTTGTGATGTCTGGGAAATACCAGTCTGCCTTGTGATGTGCTGGAGATGTATGAGAAATGACTGAAGCATTTAGCGACTGGCATTTGGGTTTGGTATTGTTTAGCTATTGATTTAGGCCTCATGAAGTGGGTAGGCCATCCAGCACCTGAAATCATTGGTTCTGATGACGGGAAGCTCCTTGCTATGTCCAAAGATTAGGCTTTTGTGTGAAGAAGAAGAAGAAAGCCCGAATGCATTGCCTGCATGATATTGCAAGGAGGAGCCCTCAGTTAGGCACAAAAGTGCAAATTGAGAAACCCTGTCTCTGTGAAGTGGAGAAATGTACAGCTGCAGCGAGGCTGTTGCTTACTGAAACCTTCTCAGCTGGCCTGAAAATCCCTGCCATGCTTATGTGACTTCACTGTCACTTTTTGAAGTATTGTCGGTAGCACTTTAAAAACAAGCAAAAACGCTACATTAAAAAAAAAAAAAAAAAAAAAAAAAAGTTACAACTTTTACATTAAAAAAAAAAAAAGTCTGGGAACACTTTTATACTTCTAGTGAATAGTGCTTCCATTGAGAAGTTAGTTGTCAAAGACACTCTGCTGCTTTAAGTTGAATGGTTGATGAACTGAAATTAACAACTTCTTCTCTTCACAGGCTGAAGAACAATGGCTTCCTTCAGCAACCTGACTATTGGTATCGCTCTTGCCAGTTTTACCATATTCCAGCTCCTGTTCCATGTTTTAAGCTCTTGGGTATCCGCGCGGATAACACCTGGTTTTAGCAATCTCAGCCAAAAAAGGAAGATTGAATGGAATTCAAGGTAAAGTGTTCAAAACAAATGGTAGCTAATGAACTACCACTTGTGGGCGCATGTATTGAAAACTACAGATAAGGGTATTGGTTAAACATGCACGAGGATTAGCAGGACAGATCTATGTGCTTAACAAAGTCTGCATGTCGGAGAAGAATCTCCTTCTTGGATATGGAGTTACAAACACCTGTGTATTAAATGCTTCTTTAGATCATGATGCTCAAGTGAAAAAGGAAGTAAAAGAAAATTGTGATTGGTGAGAGATACTAAGTTAATGTGGATTAATTTTAGATGACTTCTCTATGATGCTTCTATTTAGAGAATGGGTACGAAATTCCTTTCACCCAGACATGCATGAAAATCATACCTATTTCAATTTATTCTATGATCTTACTGATAGTATTTCTCTGGGTCGTGCCTTTGTGTGCAAAGCAAGTTACTCTTGTCTCTCACTACTAGTACACTGCATCCTGCTTTAGATAGGTTTTCCAAGTATTTGATAAATTGTCATTGTGGAACTGTGGTGAGGCAGAGTTATACTACAGCTTCAGGACAGCTACATCTGTGTTTTGATGAGGAAGGGAAGGAGGATGTTGAGATGTAGGGTAAGTGTTCAGAAAGGAGTTGTGGAAAATTGGTCTAAAAACCAGCCTTGCTCCCTTTGTGTCTCTACAGACCTGCCACTAGGATGTGTGTACCTGTGCTACTCCTGCCCCTTGGGCAGGGCATAGGCAGCAGTTTGTGCAGCCCTGTAAACCTTTCCCTGGGTGGGTGCTGTCCTCTATTTTAAGCTATAAAGGAAGTATAGAGTAGTAACTGCAAGCAGGATAATCACTGAGGTTTTATTTCAAATAAACTTTGAAAGATTATATCTAGTACAGAAGTTTCTCCAACCAGAATGAATTGTTACAGTATAACTTCATGCTCAAGTGGCCTATTAAACTTTTAAAATATTTTTCAGGTGTTTCTGAAATTCTGTGTTGAGAAGTATGTACTGTACGGCTGTTACTGCACTCAAAAAGCATTATCATTATCGCTCTCCCTCCCCTGTCCTCTTTAAAGGCATTATCTAGTGGATGCTTTTAAAGTTATTTCCTTGTCTGTGCAATATTAGTAACTCAAATAGTTTCGTCCTCCATTTGGCAAATGTCTGCCTGCAGTGCTTTTAAAGGCACCATCTTAATTTCAGTCCGATCTTTGAATAATTGTGTATCTACCAAAACATCTTTCTAGATTGCCAGCTCATGATATCAGTGCAAACTGAGTTTATCTCTGTGTTAGAAATTGACAATAAAGTCCAACAGGGAAACTAAACTTTTATCATATTGGAGCTGAACTTTTGTCTCAAAGCCACATCAAGTGACCCCTAAATTGCATAATAAGGTTTTTGAGGACATACCTCATGCCTGGTAGCATTATGGTAAGTTGCAAAGCTTTGCATAACAACACACAAGTTGTTTCACAGATCACAAGTGTGCTGGAAATAAGCTGCTCTGTAATCTCCAGGCTACTTTGCAGTAAGGTGTTTAATTACTCAAGTTGAAAGAGCGCCTCATGCTGTTCCCTTCTTTTTAACTTCTTTCCACGATTTTTCTTAGAGCAGGATGTTGATGTTAGCGCTAGATTTTAGATAAATTGTGGTTCAGTTCTGGAATTAAGAGGCATGAAACGTGAGGCACAGCTCATCAGCAGTTTGTTGGTTTTATATCTGAGGAGGGCACGGAGTGAAAGAAGGGCTGATGGTGCTGGTGATTCTGCAAGAGATTGGCTGTTAACTTTGCTAGCCAAGCACAGCACTTCACCACGCTGCTTCCTCACTTCAGTGTCTCGCTGAAGTGAAGAAACGCCCCAAGGAGTATCTTATGTGTTCATAGAATAGAGAGACACGTGTCTACCGTGCATATGGCCGTGCGTGTGGAGGAAGTTACTATCTCCTGTTAAAATGAGTTTGATTAGCTTAAATGTTTGAAAAGTAGATGTTTGCTCTTCTGTCTTACATTCAGCTGCTCTAGGGAGGGCTCAGACAAATGGTTCTGTTGGCAGTCCTGAAGGAAACTGGCACAGAGGATGGTCATGCATTTTTATCAGCTCAGCTGGGTCTGGAAGACGGCATCTGCCTGAAATGAGCTGTAGCATTGAAAATATGTTGTTAGTTTTGAGGGTTTTGTGAGTCGAGCATTTGAGCTGCAGCTCTGGATCACGTTTTCCATATTGTCAGTTTGTTTATTCTGACCTTCCAAGAGTTAAGAACCAATAAAGAAACTGATTCTGAGATCTTTCAATATGCACATTCTCAAATTGAATTAAAAGTTGCACTTCAACACAGATGTACTGTAACTAATTTGTCATGCAGAAGTTCCTGTCACCTCTTCTACAACATATATTTGTACTACTATTATACAGTTGTGAAAATGCATAGATTTGGTAGGAAAAGAATAAGTATACAGTTTACTAGTGCACCTGTTATTTTTTTTCTTTGCAGTTTAATGAGGAGTTAAAGGATGCAGGCTTTGACAGTAATTTCAAAGAAATGTACTGAGCTTGATAGCTTGACCTAGTTTCCGTATTAAAATGGAGTATTTCTCTTACTCTGTGGGGAAACTTCAAAGTCCAGAAATAAGGAAGAAATCTGCTTTTTTCTTTTTTCCTTTTTTTTTTTTTTATTTTTCCTTCTTTTTTTTTTTCTTTTTTCTTCTTCAAGTGCTGTGTTTGTATATAGCTTGTAAGCTTATCTGAACTAAGGTTTGAATAAACAGCCACTCCTAAGACAAACTGCAACTGCAAGCTAATGAAGTATAAGCTAGGACAAATTTTACTTCTTTCAGCGCTGTGCTCTCCTAAAGTTAAAAAATCCCAAGTATTTCTCAAGCGCTAACCTTGCATACCATGCTTTGTTTTTAAAAGGATGCAAAGTTTCTGGTCTTATGTAGTTCTGTGTTGTGAGAGTCAATGTTTTAATCAAACCACTTATTATCATTAAAATTCTGATAACAGAATTTTACTTTGTTTAAAGGTGTTTTTTTTTTTTAATATATATATAAAACCTATGCTATAATAGATGTTAAATGTTCATACTTAGCCTGTTGCATTTGGATATTCAGACTGTTCTTATCTCTATCCGTTTTCTGGTGTATGATTGAAAAAGTTGTTGAAAGTAGCATGATGACACTCCTTAAGCAAATGGTAAATAGGGACATCTTTGATAAGAAGTGATAGAATTTTCTCATACCAATAGAAGATAATACATCCCTTGGAAACAGACTAAATCCCTCTTTATTCAGCAAACCTTCTAGAGGAAAAAAGACAGGACCTGGCCATGCTTGGGGTTTGCCTGCCTCCAGCGCAGGGTGTGCTGCTCTGCCAGCACTTGTGGGCCTGGCTGATTCCTGTGACTTTGTGTAAGACAGGAGGAGTATGAAATAGTGCAAGTGAGTCTGCAAGCTGGTAGGAAGCTGCTGCTGTTACACCTTGGATATGCAGCCACAGCTCTTGGTTACAAAAGTTTACTCTTTGAGGGCCAGAATCTACTTCAAGCGCTCTAGAAATTCTTTCTGAAATTTTCACCAATAGGATTTTCACTTAATGCCCCTCTTTGCAAAAACCCAGGCTCAGGAGAATTATTTTTGGGTCATCTTGGTGCCTGAAAGGAGGTATTCACAGGCCAGTCTGAGTATAAAATCAAGGCGCTTTCCTGTGGGTTTTCCATCAAACGAAGCAATGCAGTATTTGAGAACTGGATGTGGCTTTGTCTTTAAGTATTCATTAACAGTAGGTTAATTTGAAAAACAAAAAAACACCTGTAGATCTCAGTTACTTTACTTTAAAACCACTCTTTCTCTTCAGTGCTCATCCCCTACACCCCCCATCAGAAGATACTTCTTTATGACTTCCTTTCTCACGTGTCACTGTGTAAGTGGTAAAGCAGAGATGCAGTGGGGCATGGCTTTGGGTGTATCCTACCTGCAGTACAGTACAGACAGTGACTGGCAGTATCTCCTTGTGACTGTGATCTGTTTTTCAGGACAGTGTCCACATTCCATGCCTTGGTGGTTGGTGGATTTTGTCTGTATATTTTGTTGTACGATGAAGCTGTTAATGCTGACCATCTCTGGTAAGATGTTGTTATTTACATGTTGTGTTTACACGGTCAAGTAACATAATAGAGCATGGAAAAAGTATCCTGCAATGTATTAATTAGTGTAGTAAATGTTTTATTTCCCTTTAAAATACACAGTTTGATGTATTTACTTTTGTCCATGCTACTTTACAATTACAGATTATTTTCTCAGTGCTAATGCCCTTAGTGTATTGTCTCTGTGAAGTGGGATAGATACTATGCAGTCAATTGATTTGTAATTGCATATTACTAATCTATGGGATTGAGAGTCCAACTCAGTTGGCAAGGCTGAAACTATGCTACTTAGTACAATTATTTTTAAATTAAATTGAAATGCTCTTTCAAACCATTGCGGGGGTGGGGGAAGTGGAGCCTACTATCTATATAAAATACATATGTAAAAGGTGAGAAGTTAGGATGTTATACTGTAGCCTCCCAAAAGGCTTCTACCAAGAAGTATGAAGGAGTTCTAAGGGATTCTATCTTTATAGGGAATAGAATTTTTTAATCAATAGATTTTGAATGTTTTCTCTATTCATCAAATATTCCATCTTAAGCTTCCTTTTTTTTTTAATGTTTAGTTCTATTGAGTTATATTGTTTTGTTTTATGCTTACTTTTTTGGGGCAGGATATGTTTCTTGCTTTGTGTAATTGGTATTTTGACATTTCATTCATTACCTTCTGGAACTCTCCCTCTGGAAGAGGCCATGTAGTAGTTAATCACTCTTCAGGAGTAACAAGTTTCATTTCATATTTCTGCCATAGGGTGCTATTTTTGTTGTAGGTCTACAGTATGATTCAGTTTAAACTCAGGTAAATTTAACATGTGATTCTTACTTTGCTCTTTGGTGCTCTAAACTAATGACAGTATGGTATGGACTAGACAAGATTGGGTGCTTGAAGCTATGAATTCTGATGGTATCTCTGCCACTGATTTCTTATGTGGCTTTCTTAAATGTAACACTGATTCAGAAAGCAAATGTGAACAATGCTGGCCTCTTACTTTTGTAGTGATACATGATTAATTTGTTTCTTTGACTTTTTTTCATTGTATTCTGGTATCTCTGGAGTGACTGTATACAATCTCCAGTATCTTACGAGATCGTTAACCTTGTTTAAAAGCAATAGGTTATTATAACTTGATCTCTGTATGGATTGTGGAAAGCTTTATCTTATACAAGCTTTTATCCTGGTTTACTTGAGTAGACCTTCTTCTAAACAGTACAAAAGAAGTAATGAGTGATAGAAGTATGACTTGCTGGTGATAAATTGTCTGCACGCTTACTAAATTATCCTGGTGTATAAAAAATCGAATTAAATAGAAAACTAAGTTTTCAAAAATTATCTTTAATTCTTAATAAGTTTTAAAAAGGCTGTGAGATATTTTTGTGTACTGCTTTGAAAACTTAACCTCCTTTATGGAGCCTTAGCATCCTATATTATGTAAAAGATACCATAGGACAAAATCAATTTTGGGGGGAAAGAAATTATTATGTATTTCTACTTTTCCTTCTAAGTATTTTTTTTTTTTGGATACACTTATGATGATGATTATAATGAATTAAAACTCTGTGTTGTGCTTCTTCTGTCAGAAACTACCAGTGAAGCCAGAATCACAGGTCAGTTTCCTCAGAAATTGCAGGTGTATATTTTCTTCTAAGGCTAACTTTCATGTTACTCTTGAAAAGGAGATAGCTAGCATTTGTCTCTGCATTTCTCCATATGTTGTGCTGATTCCCTCTCTGTGGTGACTGAAGCCCTCACTGACCATACAGAGCTTTAATCAATTTTCAGTCTGCTTTATGACCTGGATGTACTTTAAATTTTAATCTGTCACTTTTCCATTGATTCATAGTTGAATTCACATAGTTTTGAATTTAACTGGATATGGCTGAAGAGGAAGATGCAAATTCTAAGGAACTGCTGTAAGGTTCTTCCATCATGGAAATCAAATGCCCTTTTGAAATGCAGTCATAAGCTGTGGAGCTCATATCTTCTGCAGATATGAAAGATGCATGAGCCTTCCATTAGGAGTGTCTTATAAGCAGTGAAGAAGCATTTGAGTCTGGTTTCAACAGTTTGTGTGTGTCCAGAAAGCCTTAATGCTGCTTTTACTCATGTAGTCTGAAAGCATTACACTGATGCTCCAATTTTAGACCACTGTCACTCTTGCCCTCTGTTTATTGCCAAAATCTTTGTACAGCCATTGATTGTATGATCATGTCCATTTATTCTCTGCAGGATTTGTGTCTTTTATATCAGTAATGGAAAGCCATAGGTTCCAATCTTCAATGTGTATCAGCCTGACTTCTGGGCTCATGCGAGGCTTAAATGCATGGTGATGACAATACATGTAGTTCTTGAAGGGGATCAGGACTCCTACTAAGGCATTGGGTGCAATGGAGAGAGGATGTGGTGTTGCTGCCAGGTAGTGCCTGAAACTAGATGCAGTAGATCCTAACAAAACATGATGAAGACTGGACCATGCGTATGCCACAGAGGTTTATCAGCCTGGTTTTTTTACACCTTTTTTGATGGTCTCGGACTTCCCCTAACACTTGCCATATTTTCTATATGTTAAGAGAATAGCTAACTTGCATAAGTAATGTAGAAATTGTTTTTGAGATGATGAGAATAACATGGTAGAAAATGTGTAGGTGGTAGAGATTAGGTAAGAAGAGGGAGACCGTGTGAAGGTACGACTTAATTCATGTATTCACAAGAGAGCAGGTTTCTTCGTATCACTCTCCACTTTGCAGTCATCAACCTTCTTTAAGTTAAAGTGTTTTTATCTAGTAGACTGTACCTGAAAAATATCTGCAAAAAAAGCTTGAAGAAAGTTGGCTGGGCATCCTTGTGTTTTATCTCCATGTGTGTGTTCCTGGAGTTCATTTGCTGCACATACCTCCCAAGCAGTTGTAAAGGAGACTTCTGCTTGTTCAGGTCACTCCCTGTTTGTCATTCTTGGCGCTCGCCTGCGTCAAAACTGTGCTGCAAACACCAGGGCTCATAAACTTGACAGCATTTCCCATTTGAGCTGATAGATTGGGAAATCCAGAACATTTTAGACTGAATTCTATATTTTCTGTTAACTGAGATTAATTTGGGATTGTAATGGACTTTTCTTGAAGGTACTGACAGATGACAAATGGGTAGCACAGCCGTGCATGCTGTCAAAATGTTGGTCCAGAAAGTCTGGAGAGGACTTGTTGCAAGGTTATAATTCTCTCATTAATGCTAATGGGAGATTTTGGGCAGCCCACATCTTAAAAATCTGTTGACATGTCACTTGAAGCTCAGTGTATTTTTACACAAACAAATCTAGATTAGATGCACAACGTAAGTTTTTTTTTTTTTAATTTTAAAAATCTTAAAATTAATTTTAAAAAAAAAAGATCTTTGGGCATAGGAAAGGAGAATTGCTTACTTAACTCCTCAAGGTAACAATACACAGAGGACAGTGGAAGAAAGAACAAATAGTAGTTACTTGCTGTAATATGAATGCTTCTTCTTGAGCAGTGTTCACAGGTCTTGTGGTTTTGAACATACTGGGGGGACTTCATTTTTTAATTTGCTATTAAATGAATTTTTGGCACCAAAAGGGAAGGCACAGAAGATGTGAAACTGCTCTAAAAAACATTTTTGCTGAAAAGTTCTTTGGCTTCAAAGAACAGGCAGATAACTCCTTTAGTGTCTCCTTCTATTCTGTTTATTCATATAAGCATTTGTCCTCTCACAAATATGAAAAGCACTAGCTGAGAGAGAGATTTTTGTCATCTGTCACAAAGTTTTAATACTGGCAGAAGAAAAAAATGGAGATGAAGACTGCCAATCAGAGTGCTGTGATGCTGCGTGGGCTGCTTGCTTCTATTTGCTGTTGTCAGAGAAGCCAGCCCAGGGCGACTGCTGGGTTTCAGTTCTGGTGTGTAGCCATGGGCAGGCCAGGGACAGCTAGCAGATGTCTTACATCTGCCTGGAAAGGAGTCCATTTATGTAACTTTGATCTGTGGTCAAGTCTCACGATGTCTTACTGTTGGGACAAACATTAGGTAACCTCATGGACACGATGATGTTTGATACGTGTGCATCCTTTGCTAATTACCTTGTTTCCAAGGCTTAACCGTGCATTTTTGGTGTGTTTACAGGGGTGACCCTTCAATTGTGAAACTGAATATTGCTATTACCACAGGCTACCTCATTTCTGGTAATTATGCAACGTCATCTTTATAACGTGCTCAACATGTTTATTTATATTGAGTCCTATCTATTTACATTTATCTTGAGACACTGTTCTGGAGATGTGATGGGTGTAAGAATTTTAAAAGCCGCAGCAGAAGTTGTGTTGTAATGGAGTTGTGGGGTTGTGGTGAAATTGCAGGATGTGAAAGATGGGAATGGTGTCTCCCCAGGCAGTAAGGGAATGCCATGGCGTGGCTTTGTGATGGTTTGGTACCCAACCACCAATTCCAGTTCAGATTGTACTTCAGCCACTTCAGAAGGTGTGGAAGTGGCTTGCTTCAGAGCACCAGAAACTAAATATACAACCTTCAATGCAAGTTGAGGCAAATGATGCCATTGGATCTCACTTGCCCACCTTCTAATCTCACTTCAAACCAAAATTAAGTCACATATAAAACTTGAAAATTTAGAATTATTTTTTTAATGCAGCATTTACATTTAAATATGTTGATGTTCTGAATTATTGACTAACTAAAATTGGCATGGGAATTTTGCAAAAACACTATTTGGAACTTCTATTTTGTGTGGGGAATTGCTGACTTGCCAAAATGAAAACTCTTTAGCTTGGACTGTTTTCTGGGAAAACTTCCCTTGTTTGAATGGAGTCTTTCACCAGAGACTACGCTGTATACTAAATTGTCTCTTGCAGTTGATTTCTCACTAATGGGTTTGGTGATCAGCACACGCGGTTCAAGTCTCTGGTTTGTCTGTAAGGGGAACTTCATCTTCCATGTTTAAATTCATCGGTATCTATTTCTAAATAGTTACGCATTAGGCTTTCATTATGAATTAATGAATGCCTTTGAACAGAGACCTGAACTTGGCCACTCATTCTCTTTCTTATGTAGTTAATGTTTAATTATTTATACGTGGTGGAGTAGCTGTATCAGATAATATGGAGTCCTGCCTGAGGACAGCTCATATAAAGAGATCAAGGCACTCACTGCAGATAGGAAAAGCATAATGGTAAGGTCTTTAATTCTGAACCTTGGTCACTAGTATTCCATTCAAAGTGCCGAGTATTCATTTATTTGGAGAAAGAAGAGGCATAAATTGCTTATTCCAGTATAGAACAGAAAATTTTCTGAAATCTCAGACAATCACAGGGCAAGAAGAAATTCTCTGTCAAAGCTTTCTTTACAGCAGTAACTGATTAAATATCTGATTAAATAAAGTGAGCATGCTTCTCATTCCACGTGTTTCTTGCACAGGATTAATGGTTCCCTGTTTGCAAGTATAAAGTTCTGAACTCACTAATTCTCCATAGTAGATCCTTGATTTAATTGTAGGGATTTGTACATTGGCTATATATGTCCCTTCCCTTCCCACTCCTCTTTTTTTGGTCAGTTGTTTCAAATTTGTGGATCTGTAAGTGTGAGGTCTTCATATCAGATTCTGGATCCACCATTTCCTACCAGAATACTTCAGCTAAAGGTATTGTCCGCATATTCCTGTTGATATGGAAGATAATTTATGGCAGCTGTTGGAATAACGTGTGCTTAATATTTTGTCAGAACTTTTACTGGAAACAAATCTTTAGGATAAAGTGTGTTTCTACTGGTAGTGTGCACTGGCATTCATACCTCTAAAAACTAAGAGAAACACTATTCTCAAGTAAATGGTAGCATACTAACTTGCTTTTTAACATTATTTATTTTCTCTTGTAGATTTGTTGCTTATTATTTGCTACTGGAAGGCAATTGGTGACAAATTTTTTGTAATACATCACTTGGCAGCTCTGTATGCTTATTATTTTGTACTGGTGAGTGCTGTATTCTTTAGTAATGTAACAAGCAGATGAGAATGGAGACAGTGCTTTTATGAATCTCATTTCCTTCATGTTTAAAAAAGTTATTTGCTGGTTGGTGTGTTAACTTCATGATAGGCATATTTATATCTTAAATAAAGAGGTCACAAAATCACAAGTGTGAACACTTAAATGGAAAACCAGGAGAAGATGGTTTCAAATGTTTTGCTTGTTACTGTATTTTTAAGACCATTGGTCAGTGATGTCTCACTCTGAGCAGCTGGATGTGGTTCTTCTGGAGATTATTCTTTTTATTTAATTGCAGCAACAAAAACAAATTAAAAAAAACAGGAAAAACTTTGTTTTTGTACACACTTATGTCACCCAGACATGAACACTTTATTATTATGGTAGGTAGGATTATGAAATGTATTTCTCTTCTGGACATTAAGCAGCTGGCATACAGCACATGTTAATATGTAATATAAGTATACTAATCTGAAAAATGAACAATCACGTGAAGTTCCCAATTGCAGATGATAAACAAAGTAACTATATCCGCTGTTTAGCTTAGACTAACGTTAAGCTTTGTTATAACTGAGATTTCTCAGTACGTGTATGTTGTTCATTCGTTTGTTTTGTTTTTATGAAGGTTGATGCTGACCCTCTGAGACTTTTTCTAAGATTGCTGTGGTGGGGAAGCAGTTGATGATTCACTGTATATATCTTTCAATATCTGTGACATATGTACATGCACTGATGATAAAAGGGGAAGAAAAGGTTATTCTTCTAGGGCGAAGACTAACTCAATTACTCTTTGCTGCTGATTTACTGCTGGAATTGCTAAGATGCCTTTGTGATTTGGTAGAAAACCTGCTGACCTCCAGAGTAATGCTGCTAAAGCTCTTCTGAAAAGCTCATTCAGTAAATAAAGAAATCCTATAAAACACAATTTACTTCACTTACCACATCTCTTTCGCTAGCTAGTTCATGAATCCCATGCTTAAAATATTTAAAAATGTGTTGAGATGTCAGATTACTGCCAGATTTAAACCATCTAAAGGTAATGAAGTGCGCTGACAAGTAAATACTCTGTTTCGGGTTGAAGGTAATTAGATCTACTCATATTGTCATGGATGAAACTGAATTAGAACTGGATATTAGAGAAATGAAAATATCACTCCTGAGACTAATCCCTCATGCAGAAAAATCAGTAGTTGTTTCTACTAGGAGTAATAATATAGCGTGAACTTTAATCTCAATTTATTATTTGGATCCAACTCACCCACTGGATGTCTTATGTCTGTGCCATGGGTTGTTCAGGAATAAGGCTGAGTTTTCTTTATCTCTACACCTGCCAACTGCTGCTTGCCCAGTCCTGGTGGAGTGGGATACTATTTCCAGCTCATAACACAACCAAAAGATAAGACAGAGAAGCCTGTGTACTTTGTCACTTAGAGGGAGGTGTTCAGTTACAATGTGTTTTGGTGGAAAAGTTCCATGCTGTTATCTGGATACCAACATAGGGAAGACAAAGTCTTCCAGCTTAGGGGATGTGGCAGGGACTGCAACACAACTGGTGGACAGGATTTTCCTTTCAGAGGGCAGGAGAGAATTTCAAGGGCTTTGTGTGTCCTTTCTGCTGCCAAATAAAAGCCGATAATTTATCCTGATGTAGCTAAGTTGCATTCTTAAAACAATTCAGGGACATTCTTCACCTTACTGATTTTGTTTGAGTTTGTTTAAACGTGAGAAATCCAGAATATTTATAATCCCCTTAGGCAGTAGCAGTACCGTCATAGTTATATCCTACCAATTCTTGTGCCAGTCTCCTAGCTGGCTTCCCATTTCCTCTTATTTCTACGTCTTTTGAAGATTTATTTAAAGGAAAAAAAAAAAAAAAGCTACTGATTCATGGTATTTAAAGGACAACAGCATCTTCTGTAGAAAACTTCATTTTGAAACTTTATGGAAGATTGCCACAGCTAAGAAACTGGCATACTGACCATCTTAATCAGGCATTTGGGTCATTGTATCATTCTGTGTACGCTTGAAGACTTCAATCAAGGTTCATCTGCTAGATTGTTGATCTCTGTGTCTGCTTTGTCTTTGTCCAACTAGAGCAAAGGTCTGCTGGCTTATTTTGGGAACTTCCGTCTGCTTGCAGAATTCTCCACTCCTTTTGTCAATCAGCGGTAAGTAGCTGTGGAGTTTTTACACAGTGCTTTACGTTTTTATCTATATTATACAGGAAGGATTTTGTCACTGAATAGCTGCTAAAAGTGAATTTTCATTTATTTAGAGTTTACTATCTGGAAATCTATTTTGCTATGAAAACATTTAGCTGCTGTTGCTGCACAGCTGGTGTGCTCACCCCTGAGTTCTTTTTTAAAGCAACCTTCATATAAAATACCAGATTTTCATATTTCAGTTATAAAAATAGTTCTGGATTCTGAGCTCTTAAATTAGAAGAGTAGTAAAGCATCTAAATGCAGCTGTGGTAGTTAAGCTTTACACTTGTGATCAGAGAAGAAAGTGGCAGGAGTCTCTTTAGCAGACTTCAGTGACAGTGGAATACTGCTGTGGCTTCTGGTTGTAGCATCACACTCAAACTGCTGCTGTGAGAATCAGGGAAGGCATGATGATGCCAAGGAGGGCAGTCCCTGGAATTTCCCAGAGCTCTGGGCTGGGTGCCCACTTGCTCTGCAGCTGCTGTGACCCAACTGGAGACACCAACCTGCCCCAGGACTTCACCTCGAGAGCGGGACTTTGGTATAGGATGGAGCTGCTGTCATCTCCTCCTCCTCTTCCTCCCCCTCCTCCTCCATGTTTTTCTTTTGCTTGTAGTGTAGGATCAGATCTCACAGTGCACTGCATACCCATTCCCATCTTTTTTTGGGTGTTTCTACTTTACTGATCCTTCTTGTGTAGTATCTGTTTTCCTTTCCAGGTGTCAGATACAGAAAGGGTGAGGGTGATAAGAAAAAGGGTCTATAAGCCTTCAGACAAGATGTCTAAGTATTATCTATTACTAGGTTGTGATTGTCAGCTCCAAAAGAGTTTTTGAGACTGTAGCATTCCTCACGTTTCTAAGAATGTAAAGAACAAAAAGGAGGAATTGTGCTGAGGACTCTTCTGAATGTTAGCAAATTCAACTTAGAGGAGGGCAGGTAAAGGAGCTCTGCAGGGCTATTTCCATTTGTCCAAGAGAAGGCTGTTGTGGTCTAATTCAGGCTGTGCTCTGCTTGCACAGAGAAACCAAGGAATGAATAAACACTTCTTCAAGCTTGTTTTATAGGAGAGTAAGAAAGCAAGACGTAGTGTATTCTGAAGGTGGTATTATATTCTAGATTTCTCTCTTAGTGCTCATGTCCCAGTCATTGTTCTCATAACTGAGTTTTATCAAGATAGGATTTCATACTGGAAATGGATGCTTGCCTTTCAAATCTATTAAAAGTAGTATATATTATACTTTTAAATGCCTATGGTGAGACTGTGTCCTTGAAAACCCACATCTACTGCTTTCTGAGAAAAACAGAAGTCTCTGTGGAGACGATAAGGTCCTTCACACTGAGAAATGTCATCTCATTAGTGCATGGTTTTTTTCCCCATTACATTTGAAAAGAACCAGGCGCTTAAGGCAGCAAGTGGTAGATAATGATTTACATTAAACTTCTGCTTTGCATTCTTAGTATTACCAAAAAAGAGCAGTATTAAAATATAAAATGATATTCTAATCTCAGAACTGAAGTATTTTCTTTGTTTTGGTGCTGTTAGAGGTATTTAATTCAGGGTTGTTCCCATGCCAAGCATTTAGATCTTTTTATGTTCATGTCAACATTTGTGCAGTTAATTATAAACTGTGTTGGGTAAAATGTTAACAATCACTGAGATTTACTTATTCATATTTTTTGAATTTGCTGGGAGAGGGAAGTCTCTGAGCAGATGTCCAGTCACCCTTTTCTCCAGCAGTTACTTATCCTGGCACATTGCTGTGGACTTTAAAAGCTTTCTTTGATGTTACTTCTGGAATCTGTATTAAATATATTGAGGAAAATACAGGCTCTGTCTCACTAAACATGCCAGGTCTCTATCAGCCCAGCGTTTTGGTGGGAAGATGTCCAGCTTCCTGATCAGGCTATCACCTGGAGGGCCTGGAGTTTGTGTCTGCTGCATTCTTAACTGATTCCCGGTGTGTTTCCGTTAGAGCTGGGTGTCTGGCAAGTCTTTTTAGTATATCAGTAATTATGTAGGTTGCAATCTGCAGATAATTAAAATTGACTTTATTTTTTACAAGTTTTTAACTTGTTATTTTGTTTAATAGCTTTAACCCTGTGGCTTTTTGAAAACAAATTGATTATTCCACTTCCTTCTTCCCAATCGCTGTCATGAATATGTTGATTCATGCTATTTTCCTGTCTTTAACCTGGCGGTGTTGCTCAATTTTTCCTTGCATTTATTTATTATGTGTGGACGTGTCTCACTCCAATTACAGGAGAGAGAGAATGTTCTTTAATATATATGTGAACTCAACAGTGAGATTAAGACACCAGGGGTCAAATGTTAGCCTGACCAGCTTATTACAAATCCTAGTTGTTTACGGAGATGGGGAAAGGAAGACGGGCGAAAAAGCAAGCAGTTTTTTTAGAAAGCAGCAGAGATAGTTGCCACCAAAGGTCCAGCATGGTTTGTAGTGCATCTGTTGATCCCAGAAACTCATCTGGTCACCATAGGGCATGAGAGAAAGGTGGAAAGCTTTGCACTGTAGCAGCAAACAGAGCCCAGGAGGGGATTCTTTCTGAAGAGGTTTTTTTTCCTCTTAAGGAATTCCTCTGCCAAAGGTTCCTTCTCTTTGGGAGTTTCTCTCCTCCAAAGGTTTCTTTTCTTTGGGAGTTCTCCAGAGTCCTTAGTTTAGTGGGAACCTTTCATCCCCCGCTTTTCAGTTTCTTTTTTTAGTATTTTTTCTCTCTGTTAGCATGACACACTTGGCCCAACAGATAAGCCAACACGAAGTGGTGCCTCTGTTGCCGTGCACAAGCATTATTGCCTTTTGCAGTGGCCAGCTTCTTCAAGCTGCACTCCTGAAAAAGACTGCTTGTCCCACTTCTGCTTATCTTTACACTCATAAGTAGAAGTACTGTGGCATGGTGACACCCACCATTCGCCCCCCTGAGATCTATCAAATATTACGCCTCTATTTTATTACCATATCCAAACACAATGTTAAGAGTGCTTTCAGGGCAGAAATATTTTTTAATTGTCTATTAATGCAAATTATAATAAAAAGCAATAAATTTGAATTTGCCACCTTAAAAGTTACTTTAAATTATAGTGTAATGGTCGTTGGCATACATACTAGTCTTGAACTGACTTACAATATGAACTGGGATTTTCTACGTGTTATTCTACATATAATGTTCTTGATATCATGCAGTGCTTACCTGGGGTGCGGGGGGGGGGGGAAGAAACCAAGCAGAAGAATTTGCAAGGTATGCCAAGAAACTATGCAATAACTTAGAAATAGAAGCAATAATTTAGAAATACAAGGTAGAAACAATTAAAAAAATACATGCTTAATTAAGAGAAATAAAATCTTCTTCAATTAAGTGGACTCAAGTGTGCCTGCCGTCTGTGAATACTTCTTTTGCAGGTGGTTTTTTGAAGTACTGGGATATCCCAAATCTTCAAAGGCTAACATGATCAATGGTGTGCTGATGACAGTTGTGTTCTTCGTGGTGAGGATTGCCGTCATGCCTATGTATTACAGCCGTGTATTTTCTTCGTTTGGAACTGAGGGTTTCCAGAGATTAGGATTTGCAGCCCAGAGTGCCTGGATTATCTCAAGTGTTGTCTTGGATGTTATGAACCTGATGTGGATGGTCAAAATTACGAAAGGTTGCTACAAAGTTATTTGTCTTGTTGGACAGGAGGAAGCCAAAACTCATAAAAATGGAAAATCTGACTAGAGATCATACGCATAAACAGAAATTTCTGCTATGAAAATTATTTGGGTTCACTGAACCAGTGCACATTTCTGCCATGGAATGCTCCTCTTAAGGAAACAAGGTATTACCTCTGTACTGACCTTACTCTTTCCCTAGCCACACTGCCTGCGCACCCAGGGCCACGCTTTAAGGATCTTCTCCAATGAGGAATAGAAGCAAACGTTCACAGAAATGAATGCTACATGTTCTGAGCACTTAACAAACTACTGACATGAGGAAGGAGCAGACTGGTTACTTGGCTGTTGTCCACCAGTGTGTCTGAAGTGTTTCACTCAGGTTTCTCAGATTAATGTGTTTTATAAATCTAGTGAATATTGATATCTCTCTTTTATAAAAACATAAACAAAGCTCCCCAAACTCATGATATGGTGCAATTTTCCTGGCAAGTTTCTATATTTTCTTCTAGGAATAACAATCAAGATTTCATTCTTGAGAACTTTTTAATTTTTGCAAGAGATGCTAAAAGTCTAGCTCTGATTCTGTGAAGTCTTTTACTGCTTTTTGTTCTGCCTTGTAGGAATGCAAACCATTTGGGGAAATTTATGAAATAATTTTATCTAAAATGCTGTATTATAAGACCATACGAGATATCTTCAGAATGGTTAAAATTCTCTGATTTTTATAGGAAGGATTCATTTCTGCTTTTTTAGATTGCATGCAAGAGCACATCTACTAAATCAGCCGTGGAAATGAGTTCATAAGTTAGTATGGTAAATTATGTTTGGGAACAGCATAATTCTTACTGTAGTGCTTTTTTCCTTTGCTGCTACTGCCTTTGAGAAGTATTGCAACTCTGCTCAGAGTTAACCATTGACTTTTGGGATATGAAGCTTACTTAGAAAAAGATAAAATTATTCTGTATGTGCGCCATGGAACTTACAATGAGCCTTTTCTTTTTTTTTTAATCACACAAGTGACCCATTAGATATGATTGCTGATTTTTATTGTCATGTTTTCCTTGTTAATCACATCTGAGCTGTTGACTAAAGAACACTCTTGAATTAACAGTGCCAAACTTCTTTCAACCTGTGACATACAGTGACAGCTCACATCTGTAGGCACAACATTTTATTTTCAGAACCACATATTTGTCAATAGGCACTCTGTTCCTCCTTCTGCAGACTTAAAACTTGGAGGACATTGGAGACAAATCTTAGTGTCTAGGAGGAATGCTCTCAATCCAAATTGTATTATAATTTAAGGAATTTTATTTTTTTTATGATTTTGAGAGCAGTATTTGTGTATAGTTTTGGTTCTGTTTTGCTTACTTTTAATCATATCTGAATTGAGGTTGATTAACTTCTGTTTCTTGATTTATTTTTTTTTAATTATTATTTTTGAACATTGTGTTGTTAGTTAAACCTTCTAACAAAGTGTGCTAAATGTACACATTTTCACTTGGTACTTCAGTACACATACCAAGTATTGTAGCAGACTGTGTGTAAGAAATTTATTTTTAAACAAAGAGAGGAATATTTATGGGATATTTTGTTTTCCTTTTTTCCTGTTCCCCTTAACAAAGCTGTGTGGAATCAGCCCTCACCTCTGCAGACCGCAGTGTCAGTGCACCAACACTACGATGCTTTTGAGCAAGAAACAGGGTTTGTTTCCCAGGAATCAGATGTCAGTGAGCCCCAGAGAGAGCCCCATGGACTTATAGCCAAGGCAGCTGTGTTGAGTTCCCAGTTCCAGGGATGTCAGAGAGTATTGTTTGATATGCACAATACTGGCTTTTATCCGCTTGGTTTCACTGGGCAGACGTTTTCCAGTACTGTTTCCAATCCTGCCCTCTTGAGGGAGATGTCTAAGACTGCTTGTTCAGTTCTACAATCACCTTCAAATGAAGTGAATTCAAACATCTTGGAGAATATGCTTGAAAGTAGAAGTATCCTTGTATTTTATTCAGGAAGTAGGATGAAAAACTGGTAAGGAAGATGAGTTGAAGCAGCTTTTAAGATGAAAGCTTCTCAAAGTTCATCTCAACTTCACATTAATCTTTGACATCTCTGTATCATTTTGTTTTGCTTTATTTTCAGTGTAGAGCATTCACTAAAACAGTTGGTTTGCTTTACTTCTAGATAGATTTGTGCATCATAGGGGGGAAGTCAAGCTGTAATAAGGTTGTTTTATAAGTAGATTGGAAATGGAAAAACAAGCCTGCAGAGTACATACTGGACAACAACTCAAAATAGAAGGGCATTGAGGTAATTCTTTAGAAGACGCAATGTTTTGGATTGCTGCATGAAATTAATGTGATATTTCAGTGTATTACTGTTCAGTTCTGATGCATCTACTATGTGTGAGAAGGCAACTGTCTAGGGAAAAAGCATTATTAACACTTGTCTAGTTAGCGAGAACTGTAGTCAGCAATTTGCAAAATTATATTGTATTGAATACATTAGGATAGAGCACTCTTACCTGCCACTACAAGTTTATAACACAGCAAATTAGATGGCCTTGGCACCTATTTTTTCAATTACGCCTTCTTAATTTAAAAATGATGTTGAAATATTGACATCATTTTACGTTTCAAGCTTGTCTCTTTGCTTTTTTTTATGCAAGAAGTGCATGATTAGTAGGATTTTCATAAATGTCATCTCCAGAATGTAATATTACTTTAATAGTGACTTAAAAATTCTATTTTGACACTTGCATTGTAAAGCAGACAGTTGGTATATCGCCAGGTGACTTTGCTGTGGACGTATTGAATGGATGGAATTAGCTCAGTAAAAATGCTCAAAAATCACATTTTATTTTTTATATTCTTCAGTACTCCATTACATAAAATTAGTGTGGTGATCATGAGAGCGTCTGTATGTGCTGTATTTAAGTATGCCAGTTTCTCTATGGTTTTACTTTGTCATCAGGGATGAATAAATACTGCTCTCAGAGCTACTATAGGGGAATGGTAGGTCAAGTTTTGCTTTTATAATTGATTTGTGGAAGCAGTACTTGCAGAGGGGAAAAGTACTTCAAATCCTCGTTTTCTTGGTGAGCGTTCCAGCGGATTTCAGTGAAGTCAAGAGCCTTATTGCTACAGAGATGTTTAATGGGTATCTGTACACATAGTGATACAAATTTTATCTCTGAAACCTACTCTACCTCTATAAGTAAATGCTCTTTTGGGTGAGCTCAGCACTTTCTTAATTGCTTAAAAATAGAATCTACTGAATAATGAAAGTTATTCTATGAGCAGGATAAATGAGAGGAGCTGATTGATGTATATAAATTCTTATCAATTCCAAATTTTATGTCAAAGTTTATTAAAAATAAATTAATTACAATGTTTGGAAGGTAATCGCTTTCATCTTTACATTGAAAATTATGCTGAAGCATTATTCATACTGAAAAATTAATGTTAATCTCTGAGTAAAAGCTTACTTACACAAGTGAGCAGATACGTTCAAGCATATTTAAAGAAGGGAGGTGGAGGAGATGCTGAGTACAACTGCTGCTGTGGCTGGGACAATGGTAGAATGACAAGCAGCAGAAAGGTTATGTATTCCTGTATCTCTGTAATGGTACAAAGTGAAACTAAAATTTCTTTTCAAGCTGTATAAAAAGGCTTCTAAGTTGTTGATTTCTGTATGAAGATGACTTGTGTGTGTTCAAGTATATGTACATACAAGCTTTCTGTGAAAGGTCTTTTAGTAGAAAAGTTTGTGAAATTGTTTTGTAAAGCTTCTGCTGAGCCATTCAGGGGAAAATAAAGGGCTGACTCAAAATTACTCCAGCTGAAGGTCTATTACAGTGTTCAGCAATGGGGAAAGCCATGTAGAGAGGAACTAGAATTTTCAGATGAGCAATACAAATGTAGAAGGCTGTGAGAAGTATGTGTAGCCCTCTTTCCCATTTAATAATAGCCTTCCATAGAACTTCATTAACCAGTTGCAAGGAACTTCACAAGGCAGGACTTGTTCCTGGTAAAGTGTCTCTACCCATGGAATGCATTTGACAGCTGGAGAAAGAACAGTACTTTGCTGCTGAGGTCCTGGCACCAGTCAAATGGAAAAAAAATTATTAATATTTACTAACTTTAACATTCATCCAAACCCTGGGTGAAATCTCTTTGCTGGACAGGTGAAGGACAGGTTTTCTGAAAGCAACTTGAAAAGTCTTTTTATGGAGGAAAGAAAGAAAGATGTGCTGCTTGGGATGTTTAGAACTCTGGGATTAAGCATCAGATCAATACTTTTAGGTGATAACACTTATGATTTCTTATCCATTTAAAATCTCTACTAGCTACCTCCTTCGGCATTCTTGCTCTATTTATAATAACCAAGCACTTTATAGCTCAGTAAAGAATGGAAGGTAGCTATGAAGAATAACTTGTATTGTTTGGTATAAGAAATATTTTGTCAAAATTCCTTCTGAGATCAGCTTCACGGTGGGGTGTCCGAAGAGGGCATCTGATAGCAATGTACATAAATTTTTAATCTACTTGTAATATAAAGGAAATGTCTTTAAGAGAGTGGTTTATGAGGAGTTCAGCATGCCTCGGTATCAACCATATAATGATGCAGTGTGCTATTTATAACTTCTTAGTCATTGAAATTGAAAATATAAAAACAAATAAAATATTCTGTAGTGTATCTTTATTTTTAATCTGTGTGTGGGATGTCAAAAACTGTACTTGTCTTGTGGATGGCACATGCCTTTATGAGCCTATAAATATTTAAGTATATGAGAAAATGCACCCGAGTGGAACATGTTGCATGGAAATTGTCTTCTAAGTTTAAATATTTTGTTATTGAAAAAATTCTGATTGTTTAAATGCAACATTTAAATATCAACAGTAAGCTCCAATACAGAGCGTAACACTTTGAATGCAGTACAGGAGATGTTGGTTTTGTTCATTGTAACACTATTCAAGTTTGACAAGAGAAATCCATTATATTATAGGGAGAGGGGGGGAAAGGGCTAATCCTGAGCTCTGGTATAATTTGCACACTTAATACACTTACATGCAAATATCCTGGATTTGTTTCTAGCATGCATAAACCAGTGTTTAATGTCTACAGATACCTATATGGGGAGAATGATTTAACATGTAAGCACAGTTAGACTGATGCAAAAGCAAATTACAATCTGTTGGGAACATGTGAGTTATGATTTAGGCATAAGTAATAGTCAGTAATTTAAAAATGTTCATGTAATCTTCAAGAGAGACTCAACAAATATGGTATACCTCTGCTCTGATACAGAGCAAGGGTGAAAACTGGACATTCTTCCAGACTGATTTCTGGAAAACCATGACAATCTGGTCTGCAGAGAAAAGATTGATACTGTCACGGAGTGTTAGGATCATATTATTAAATTCAAATAGTAATGCGGCCTGATTGTAGTAGCAATCCTTATCACTGCACAAGAACTTAAGAATGCAATATAACAATTCTGAAGATTGGATACAACAGTGAACAGGTGAAGTAAGGTGAATGGTTAAATACAATGCATTTAGATTTTCCTTTTGCTATAAAATTCTGAATTGTGTTTGCATTTCAGTATACTGTAGAGCATTTTTGTATTTGGTTTGAACAGTCTAGGAGCTTGCATTATATTGGGTGATTTTTTTTCTTTGGTATATGCAATAATGTCAATGAGCAATAAATTGCATGATGTATGCAAGGTATTGTTACTTCATAATAAAAAGAACAGAGTTGCTTATTTTGTGAATTTTTCTTTCTTATTGTGGTAATAGCTTATGTATCTATAATAATAAATGTGTCATGAAAGAATGACTTGCTTTGGGTTAAGCTGAGAAACAGTTGGCTTGTACAATACCTTGAAGTTGCTGCACCTGGCTTTATGTGCTGGGGGAGGAAGGGGGTCTAAGCCAGGTGTGTAGGGTGGGTGGGTGGACTTAGGGTGAAATGCTGTGTAGGACCTCACTGTGGCCAGGAATGTAACTGCAACTGTAAATTGTGTACTGGGGAAAAGCTTATGTTTATATCAGATAGTATTAACTATAATGTGTTATAATACATTTCAGGACATAAGTCAAACACTTCTCTGCAGGCTGTGGGTATAAAGAGCTGCTGTCATCTGTGTGTTATAGATGCAATGCATTACACAGTCCTTTCCTGAATACCGAGATATGCAATTAAGTTCCTTAATTCTCAGTTTCTCTATGGGCAGAGAATGTACGCCTGGGAACCACAAACTGCATGGAGAAGCCTGGTGATTTCTCTGAGCATGCTCAGAGGAAGTTGCTGCTGTTGTGTACGTTTGGCAATTTCTTGTATTTCTCTAAGCTTTTGAGTTATGCGCTGATTAAATTTCTAGAAGAAAATACAGTGATTTTTACTACTTTTATTTCCTCTCATGTCTTAAGGGGAATTTTGTGCTATTTGTAAATGATATTCTTAGGTTACTCATTTTATACTTTCTGTAGAAAACTTGTCCTTAACCGGTCAATCTGTCTGCAGTGACTCAGGCTGGGAATGTCTGGAAGCCTTCTTTAGGGTCAGATGCTATGTAGGTCATTTCCCAACTGCTTGCAAAAGGACAGTGAGGCTCGGTGGGATGCTGTTGTTCAGCACCGTATGGCTTTCAGCACTGAATGGAGGAAAGGAAGGTCCAAAGGTGGCTGAGAACAAGGGATGCTGTTCTGTGAGCCGTTCTCAACTGCACAAATTCAACAAATCTTGTTGAAAGCATGAGAGCCCCCATGATATAGAGATATAGATAGAGATAGATATAGAGGTGGATATACAAAATGCTTCCTATGTCATTTTCTGGTGCATAGCTCCCCCATTTACATATGTGGTGGTTTTTTTTTGTTTTTGTTTTTTTTTTTTTTTTTTTTTTGAATTTTGCATTCTTTCTGAAATTTTCCTTTGTTTTTGCTACTTGTATTGGTGCAATAATTCCAAATTAGGAGCTTTGCTTTGCTTGTTTTACGTCTTCACACTAACAGGGCATCTGTCATTTTCTAAAGGATGCATATTGTGAGTATACTCTGGTTTTGCTCGGCTTTTCTGGAGTCCACAGAGGAGAATACTTAAGGGCAGTGTGTACTTCCTTGTGGCTGTCACCCTGTTCTTTGCAAGGCTTTACTCTGAGGTATTTGCTGTAGAAACTCCGTGACGGACGTGAGAAGATGTCCCTGTATTGAGAGGTGTTCATAAAAGCACTGAAAAATTTTTTAATTCGGGTGCTTAAAACGACTGTACTCTTACAGACTTGCGTGCTACAGCTGAATGCCAGCAGCTCTGACCTGCGCAGGCTGCCTCCTTCCGCGCGCTACGGGCTTCCTGGCGGCTCAGGGGAGCTCAGCCCGCCTTCCCACTCCGCCCGCAGCGTGGCGCCGTACCGGGCAGGCCGCCTTCTACCGGCAGCAGCCCGCCTCAGGGCCCTGCCCGCCGCGCCGCCTGGGATAGCGGCCCGGGCACGACGGCGCCCCCGCGGTGGGCGGGAGCGGCTGTTGCGCAGGCGCGGGGCGGGCAGGCGCTCTCGCGAGGCGCGCTTCTACGGGGTCGCGGGGGGGCGCGGGCCGGGCAGAGGTGAGTGAGGGCGAGGGGAAGCGAAGCGACGCGACTCGACGCGGGAAGCGGCGGGAGCAGCGGTGGGGCGCGGGCCGCGGCACCGGGCCGGGTCCGGCCCCTGTTGGCGAAGAGGGGTGGGCCTGACCTTGCCTGCGGGTGAATCCGGTCACGGTGTGTGTTACGGGTCACGGAGCGCTTCCTGCAGCGAGGCGAGGCCCGAGGCCGCCGTTCCCAGGAGGCGCCGGCGCGGCAGGAGCCCGCTGCGTGCGTGCGGCATCGCCCGGGGGCTGCGGGCATCGCCCGGGGGCTGCGGGCAGCGCCGCGCTGAGAGCCGGGGAAGGGGCCTGAGCGGAGCGTCCCTCCTGTCCTCCGCTGTACGCGCTGTGGAGGCCGCGGCCGTGGATTTTTATTCAGGCAGTGCGTTTATGGCTCGCAGTGGTTTTTTGTTATTTATTATGGATATGTTTTTAAGCAATGTGTGATGCTGTGGTATATCTGTATGTGCATTCGCTATAGTGAGTAGTGAACATAAGTTTCTTTACAGGTGTTTGCTTTTTTCTTTTCTTTAGAAACTTGAACTGAAAAGCCTGATTTCAGTAGCCATGGGTCTGTCTGCATCCGCCCCAGCAGCCACAGCTCAGTCAGCAGCCGAGCCATCCAAACAGCACCAGGCAGCCTCTCCACCTTCAGAATGCCCCATGCATCAGGAGAAAATGAGAGGTAACTGTGCTTGAAAGCTAGTGAAGTTAGCTCCTTACACTGAAAGCTCAAAAGTATTTGTCAGGAAAGAAAAACAACTACATTAAGAACTTGAGCCTGTCCCCCACCCAGAGTGATTTGCCGGTAGCAGCTGATGACACAAACTCAGCTGTGCCCCAGAGGAGTTGCCTGCTGCAGAACCTGTGGGCTGCTCCTCCTTGGCTTTCCCCAGAGGGGCCCTGCAGGGCACATCCATGTGGGGCCAGACTGGTGCCCATGTCCCTTTGGGGGTGGTCTCTGGGAGCAGATGGTTGTGCATCAGGGAAGGGGCAGCAGAAGGGTTCAATGAGGTCAGTGTCTGGGGAAGGACAATGTCCCCTCTTTGTCGGCAGAATGAACACAAGTTGGATTCACATTGCTTTGGAAATCTTGGTGACAAACAGCTTGGTGTAGCAGCCAGTCATAGAGCAGGGTGTAAGCATTCAGGGCCTCTGTGAGAAGCTTAGGTTTGAGCACGGTGTTGGGTGCTAAAACAGGCAAGACAAAAATATTTACGAAAGTTGGAAAGTGTTCTAAAACTCAAAATAAGAAGTGAAATAGCATTCTTGTATTTACATTAGTATTCCATGAAGTGTTTTCTGTCTCCTGTCATGTTTTAGAGACTTCGTTTTGTAACAAAACATATAATGCTTTTTCCTATATTTTAGGTTGTCCGATGCACATGAAGACTTCTGACCGTAGGGCTGAGAACACAGACAATGTTCCTGCACATCAGGAAAGAGCATATGAATATGTAGCGTGTCCTGTGAAGTCTGGGACATCTCAAGCAAACAATGACATAGATCCTAGCAATATGGTAACTTTCACTTGGTTCAGATGTTTTCTTCAGTCTCATTTCTTCTGAAATGCCAAAAATGTAAATACCGATGCTGTGTAAAATGGGAACTCTGGCAAATAACGTTCTTTTTTCAATTTTAAAACTGCTTTTTCTGATTGTTTATCCAAATATTTGTGGATATTTAATTTTTTAATTTATTTTAAACCAGTATAGGGTTGAAAGCTCTCTTCTTCGAAGTTGAATCATTTTTGATAAAAAGTAGTTTGTAAATATTTGATGCCATGTATTTCTGTTAGTTATGTACAAGCATGGTTCTTAAGTTACATCAGCAGTTTCTAGGTTCTGTGCAATAGTGATATGGTAAGTTCTCATTCAGGTCTTTTGACATTTCCTCTGCTTACAAGAAGACTGCAGATTTGATAGTTGAAGTTTACACAAAAGATGTCCTTTGGTTTTAGATGACAAACTTACACAAAGCATTTTGTTGCAAAAAAGAAATGTGACGTCGCTGGATTTAATGTGAAGGCTGAATTTCTTCGTCTTGGATGCTTAATTATTGCTTTATTTTTTTCTCAAATATTTAATAATTTCTAGTTTATTTTTGCTTTTGTTGTTCAGGTGATTCTCTGTGTTTTCTAGATGCCTCCTCCTAATCAGTTGCCATCTCCAGATCAACCATTTCCATTGTCAACTGTTAGAGAAGAATCTTCCATTCCTAGGGCACACTCTGACAAGAAATGGGTCTATCCTTCAGAGCAGATGTTTTGGAATGCTATGCTAAGAAAAGGGTAAGTACACTGGATTTTCAGCTGAAGTCTCCATGAGCCTGGGATTTTTGAAATAGCATCATTAGTTATTAATTCATAGATGCTATTTAAGAGTTTCAAGCAGGAAGCAATTAACTTTAAAAAGTACTGCTTTAAAAAAAAAAAAAGCTTTAACATTGCATATGAGCCGATCTCAAAGACTTTCCTTCCCCATCATCAGCAAGGTGGCTGAGAATGTCAAGGCAGCTGCTACTAACTCAGAAAATTTTCTTAGAAATCACTGCATAGGTGCAAAAAGACTTTGACTACCTACCTTCAAATGCAAGAGAATTCAGTCTAATCCTATAAACTGACAGTAAAAATTCTGTGAATCCAGAAGCATTCATTTGACTCTGTGATGCTGTTAAAAATTTGAAAATTAAAGTTGTTTGACTTGTAGATGTTTTCTGTCTAAACAAAACTTCAGTGTAGGCAAGATCGAACTGAATGATAGATGATTCATTGGCCTATAAAAAAAAATCTCTGCTGCTGTTTCTGCAGTTCTTTGTATTTATTTGTTTGTCGTTCTGAAACATCAACTTTAAATGCAGTTACTATTAAAACAGTAGCGATTCTTCGATATTACTTTTTGATTCTAGAGACAACATCGTGAGCAGTTTGTATTGAACACAAACTTTTATACTGTAAATGCTTTCATGTATTCAATTTTATGCTTATTGGAAAGGAAGCAACAGTCACAGTGCAGGATCAGAGAGATGGAAGGTGTTTCAAAGTGTATGCAAAATGTGTTGAGTAAAGGACTTTTGTGCATTAAGAACGCAAGTGGGATTTTTCCTGAGCATTTTTACAAATGCTGTGGATGTGTCATTGTTTGCACATCCCAATAACTTTCTGATCCAGTTAAGCTGTTAATTTAGTTAACCTGAAGTTGTGGATCTCTGTGATGATAACTTTGATAACTATCTGTTTACACAGAAAATGAAGTGGTACTCAGGATGCTTAAGCAGATGAGCCAGAAGTTTCCATTCTTGCTTTGTGTCTTTGCATAAACACTTAAATCTGTTGATTCAATGTCCATCCAATAAATTAAGGAATGTGGAGGATAACACTTGTCTTATTTTTTAGGTGGAGGTGGAAAGATGATGACATAACAAGTGAAGATATGACTAACATCATTAAGATTCACAATCAAAATAATGAACAAGCTTGGAAGGAGATTTTGAAGTGGGAAGCTCTTCATGCTATGTATGTACACATGAAATGGGAAGCAAATCACTTGGTTTAGCATTTGCTTTTGTAGTTGTTTCAAAGTAGACTTTGTAGTTTTCATAAAAATATTCTGGTATTGATACATTTCAGAAGTTACGGTCTTGTATGATCTCCCATTTTGATACAATTGGGGGGAAGATTACACAGGAGGGATGACTGGAACTGAATAATTACACCGACAAAACGGATCAGCCATCTAGTGGTGTGGTATATTATGTGGACTTGGAGGAAAAAAACATCTTAGTGTATTTATTTGAAGATCACCTTATTTCCATCTTTGTTGTGAAAAAGGAGAGGGACAAATTTTCTTTAAGAGGAACTTGTGTCACTTTCGGTATAGTCCTTGTTCCTACAAGACACAGACCAGGTAAACATGATGTATCTAGAAATCGTCCTCTGAAATTCCATGACCTTTGTTGCAGAGTGGTTTCTTTTATGATTTTCTGTTATTTGTTTTCACTTCTGTAACCCGTAACAAATTATTTTAGTGGTGTGTAGGGGAACTGCTAGGGCAGGGCTTGAACTAATGATTGAACATCTGAAGGGCTGTGGCTGTTCTAGACAGCACAGGCAAGTTGTTTGCAGCTGTGTGACTAGAAAGGGTGGACTTGCTCTGGGCTCACAAAGGGGCCAGCTGCTGAAGGGAGAGCACCTCTTGGCCTTCGGTTGCTTCCTGAGAAGGAGCGCAGCATAGCCAGAGAGCTTCTTCACCTGTTGGGTTGAGGTCAGCTCTTCTTTATGTGACTGCTGGTCTACCTGCACATACTTTGCTTGGTGTTGCCAAGAACCTATCAGAAGCAATTTTCCTTCATAGTGAGCAGACCATGGTGTAAACGGTTAAAATTAGACTTTGTTTCTCTGTTCTAATTGTGTCTGTAGGGAATGTCCGTGTGGACCGTCCCTGATGCGGTTTGGAGGCAAAGCGAAGGAGTATTCACCAAGAGCCAGAATACGTTCATGGATGGGGTACGTTGGCATGAAAATAGGACTTCTGGTCAAGACGAAAGGTAGAGAGGCATGTCTGGAGAGAGGCATGTCTGGAGATGCAGTGTAGAAGTAATCTAGAGATGATACAAAAGTGAATTGCAAGTTATAATCACCAGACGGTGCATGTAGTGGTAAGGAATCTTATGCCAGAATGTGAATAAATAAATCTTGCTTCCACTCCCTCTCCCAGGTTCATAATACCTATCCGTTACATTTTTCTGCACTATTATCTATCTTTCCAGATATGAACTTCCCTTTGACAGACATGATTGGATTGTTGACCGATGTGGGAAAGAAGTGCGGTATGTTATCGATTACTATGACGGTGGTGCAGTGGATAAGAACTACCAGTTCACTATCCTGGATGTTCGTCCTGCGTTTGATTCTCTGTCGGCTGTGTGGGACAGGATGAAGGTAGCCTGGTGGCGTTGGACTTCCTAACTACTCCTGTTATGTGTGATCTAAAGTAAACCACTTGCCTCTGTGGTTTGAGGGTGTGTGGACAGTAGGACGTGAAATAGAAGTTGAGTAAAGCTGTGATTATTTTCATCACCACTGTTCTTTGGGGGGGGCATGACCAGGGTGAAGAAATGCATTGTTAAGTATACCAATGCTTTATGATACTGTAAATTATATAATAAAAGTACAGAAGCAAAAACATGTATCTTAATTTTCTTAAGACCTGGGAAATCTTTTATTGTTACAAATCTTGCATAAGATTTCCTTCTTTCATTTCATGCCTTTGGTGCTGTACCAAATACATTAGGCTTCTGGTTCTGACTGTGGTTTTGAACACTTAAAAAATTGTGAAAACTGGAAGTTTCGTGAATGGTTGCCCTTAGTTACAGTATCAGCATACTGAGATGATAAAGCATAAAAGTTGTGGGCTGTTACAAACTGCATGTTTTACTAAGCATTGAAGCTATATGCTTGTTTTTACGTGGGCACTTTACCTGTTTAAATGTGTTTCCTCAGAAAATTTTGGTCAAATCTATTCTTTTAAAGAAATAGAGCATTGCAGTGTGAGTATTTCTAAAAGTGTGTTCAGTTGAAAATGTGGAGAGTATATTTAAGCCTTAATTTGCAGTTTATCTTTGAACAGAAGAACAGCTGATTGTTACAGGCAGGAAAAGAGTGTGTTGGCTTCTCTTAAAGCAACACTTCTCAAAAGAGATAAGGTTGGTCTCTAATGAGTATTTATTTAATCATTTAAAAAGTTTGTTTTCTGATGTAAGAAAATTGTATTCTTTTTGCTGCACTTGTGTGTTTTTCTGTCTTTATTGTGTCTTCTCATGTATTCAGGACAGAAACTTTATTTAAAGAATGTGTCTGGCACTGCATCTGGATTTTGCATCTTAGTTTCATCACCTGTAGTGTAGTATTTCTTAATTCTTCTTAAAATATGTAACAGTTGCACAGAGGTGTATGACTACGGAGTCATAGCACGTTCCTTCATAGCAATGATAGTGAGGTGTGGTACAGATGCGTGTATAACTTGACTAAAAGGGTATCCAAAGTGCAAGTAAATACTTTGCAAGTAAGCAAGGTTGAGTTGAGTGTTTTTTGAGAGTGATGCTTGTTAATTCTTTGTGGATGTTTGTGTTTAATAAGGAAAATAATTTTTTTTTCCCTTTTTTTAAAGTCTTATACTGTAATAGCTTTAAATTTGCATGGCTTGGTAAATTTCAGTTGCCGCATACCTGAAATTACATTACTCCTCCATTTCAGCATACAGTACTGTTGAGGATAACTCCTCTGTGCAAAAGACTTGAGAACAGAAAGAATAACCAAATACCACATTGTAGTTTCTCAAGTCAGAGTTTCTTCGTGTAACTTTAACTGGCAACCAGTTGTACCTTAATTCTCTGAAAGTGGTTATTTTTCACTGATAACAGAAGCTTCTTTTTGTTTTCTCTCAAGGGGAGAACACCTTAGTACTTCACTAAAGTAACTCTTCTCAATTAAGAAAATAGGTAGGAAATCTTCCGTAATTCATGGTACTAATGGAGACTAATCACTACCACTTCATAGGCAACTATCTGAAGGGTCAGAATAAAACTTACCCAGAAGTCCAGAATCCTAAGAAATAACTCCTACTTTTACCTGTTTTCAATTTCCCTATTACTTTTCCCTTTTTTTCAGCAATTCATACGTGTGTCTGTATATTAATAAGAACAGTTTTGAGCAAGAAAACCCAAGCCTCAGTCTGAGTAGGCAGTATATATGCAAGATATAAGAAGTGTGTGATCTATGAAGTATTGTGTCTGACAGTCAAAGAGCTACTTCTTTCAGTTCTAATAGAAAAGGCAGAAGATTGCTGCTTTTTGAGGTGGGCTTTTTGAGTTGTATGTACGTGCTTGGTAACTTGATCTACGCACAATGGAGAGTGCTTTGGAAGCTTCAAAATGACCAGTCTGCACTGTTGGTTTTGGAAACTTGACATTAAGTGTGTTATGAAAACTGTAATTGCTACTAAATCTGGGAGAAGATGTTTCATGCTGCTCCATGAGTTTACTGTCTTCTGTTTCATCTTTCCTAGATTCAGAATTGTTCTTTTCTGTGCTGTTTTGTCATTCAAACAAAAAGGAGACTCAAATAAATATACTTTTCTTAACTTCGGTATTTGTGAGCATATTTGTAGTTCTAAGAACTGTTAATATGAGCTCTTGCATGGGCCAAATGAGATAGCTTCTTTTGGCCAATGAAACAGATCTTTGAATAGGCACTACTCATATTTAGGTGAAGAGAGAATCGAAAAGTAATGACTAACTTAAGCGTTAGCCAGCCAAACCTGCAGGTTTCAGAACAAGAACATATGACAACAAATATTTTCATCCTCAGTCCAGATAGCTTCTGCGGAATAGAAGGTTTTAGTTTTTTAAAGTAATCATTAGAAATTAATTAAGTTTATATTCTACAAGCAGTGAGGCGTAAGGAAATCTGCCATTTTCTGCTTTAGGTTGTCTGCAGTTCACCTGTGTTCTGCTTTACCATGTCCAAGCTCTCCTTCACCTCTTGTATTCGGTTCTTGGATTTAACACAGTGGGTCTGCAGTTGAAAACGTGTTCTTCAAAGATACTGTGCTCAGAAACTGCAATCTCTGTGGCTCTTTCAAGATCAGTGGAAAAGGACTCTGGCATAGCAGTCCGATTGTAATCAGGTCTTGGGTAATGTGCATGTAGCCAAGAGTAATGCTGATCTTCCTGCAGTATGAGACTGTTCTGCATTCAACTCCTCTGGTCTCTTGCCATTGCATTGCTTCAGGTGGCTGCCCTGCAGTTAACAGTGCCCAGCACTGCGCTGCCAATCCGGAGGAACACCAAATGTGCCTGCTGGGCCGACTATGCTTTCCCTGCTAAGAGATGGCCTAGTTCTCTGCTTTTCTACATTGTGTACTCTTAGCGTGTGGCCAACATGAATACCTGGTAACTAGCATTAATTCACAGCCTTGTGGTGGGATACCTGTAGTTCCTTGATGCATGGAGTCATGGTGATATTTTGCCACTGTGTTGTATTAGGCAGTTTGGAAGAGGGGATGTATCTCTTATCACCTTTCTTTTCTCCCCCCTCCTCTAGAAATAACTGTTTCTCCTTTTCAGTATTACACTGACAGTCATAGCTCCTTTTTTCATCCAAGCCCTAGAATTTCTGCCCTATTTAGCTGTAGAAGAAAGGGATTATATCACTGATAAAAAGATATTTGTGTCTGTTGTTGATTACTGATATATATATATATATATATATACACACATATATATATGTATATATATTACTGCCGAAGTTAAGTGTTGTGGATTACCATTTTTAAGTTGTCATGTGAAAGAGACTCCGGACATCAGTGTGCTCTGTAAACAACTACTGAAGGACAAATTTTAGTCTATGAATATTGTTATATCTCCAAAAGTCTTGAGAGCAGCCAAGGATCTTTCACTGCTCTGAAAATGATCACAGTCTGTCATCTCAAATAATCTTAATTTATTTAATGAATGTAACAGTTGCATCTATTTAGTCTTAATCCTTGCACATCAAACTGTACAAAAACTTGTATGCAGAATACTAGTCCTGACTCCAAACTCTTGAGCACACATGCAGAGATGAGTTATTTACTGCTCCAAAAGGTTGTGTTGGTTTCAGCAGGAGCTGCTCACAAGACATGTTTGCAGCATGTGTGCATATGTTTGTAAATGGACTCCAAATGGATCAGATTTTCAAAGGGTAATATAAATATATTGAAAGTGTTGGGATTACTTTTAGGTCCCATGTAAAAAATCTAAAGGAATAGATACTGTTTCCTGTATTGACATTCCAGTTTGGGTAATAACTTCTCTTACATACTAGAAACCATCACATTTGTTTTCAAAATATCAAGGAAAAAAACAGCAAGAAAGCATCACGGACTTGGTAATGATTTTTGCTTTCCAGTATTTTGCCAATTTTGTGGTAACTTCATAACATTTTAGCAGTTTTTCTGACATGCTGCCGCTCTTCTTTCTGAAGACCACAACCCCATAGGTCTCCTGTCTGTAGGGATAGCTAATGCTTTAATTGGTCATTAGATGTTCAAAATGAGTTTCCATCTCTCGAAAGATTAAGTGTCTTAGGGAATTGATTTGGAACAGTTTCATGCACGGAGGGTAAATATGAGGGCCTTTAAAAAGCACTGCTAGTCCACAAATCCTTGAAAAACTTGCTTCTAAAATACAAGAAAAAGCAATAGAAAATGTTTTTTTCTCTCCAATTACATAGATCTTATATATATGAGAATTTGTTAACTTTCAGAAAGTAAGGAGTGGAATGCTATGAAAAGGCTGAATTTTACCTTAGGAAAAAATACTTCTTTTATCAGTTTTATTTACAGAGTTAAAATTACTTTATTCCAACTAAAAGGAGCCACAGCCTCCCGCTTTGGGCTCTAACCGAAATGTTCACATCAACCAATTTCACTGAGAGAGATACTAAGTCAAGCGGTGTTCGAGTCCGAACAGTATTTTCAGTATGTTCCCTAATAACCGTTTTTGTTGAGGTAACATTGTTCCAGTGCTTGTTATGATGCTTACTCTGAAGAAATGAAACAGAGTCTTCCAAGCTGATAATTTCTGGGTGTACGTTATAAATGATATCACAGAAGGCTGGATGAGTTAAGGTAATTTGTTTTCTCTTTTTATCCAAAGGTATAAATATAGCATATGTTTAGTATATATTTTACTCTGTCCTGATAACCAAGGCAAAACATTGTGGAGTAATTCATAGATGATGTGAATCACTTGAGTATTCTTATTAGTCTTGAATTCATGAAGTTGTATTTGATAGGGTTCTAGAATGCTGTTATATAATGGAAGTGGCCCTTCAAATTAGCCATGTTTCTAGTTTAGAAGATGCCTATAAATGTGTGTATCTAGGCATATAGCTTCCTGAGCTTGTGTGGATGATTTTCTTACCTGTGTAAGCATATTTGGGTAAAATCTTTGCAAGTTCCTGGGTCTACCATCAATTCCTGGGGGTGCATAACTTTCTATTTAAGTATCTGTGTCTTAGGACCAGCCTCTATTCCAGGTAAAGAACTGGCGCAAGACTTAGGCATAAACAGGTGAATTGGACCTGATCAGATGAATTCTTAATGAGATCTGTAGAGATGCTGTCCTTCAGCTCTCTCTTTTCCAGCAGCAGCTGAGCCATCACACCTGTGCTGTGGTTATGGGTTTTTCATTATTGTTTGATTCATGAATGGGCATCTCAAGCGATTTTCAGGCTCTTAGTGGTTCTTAAATGTGTTCTAGAGTACATACTTTAGGACTGCTTATAATTTGTGATAGCTGGCACAGGAGGTTGAATGGCATGAAAATGATAGCAAAAATATGTAGATGGATGGTCCAGATCAATGTGTTTTTTTCGAATGTCTGTCTTCTCTGTCATTCACAACTTGGTTTAAGGGGAGAGCGGGTCTAAATGCATGCTTTTATATGTAATCGCTAGTGATTGTCAACGTAACCCCTGATTGATTGGGAGTCATAATTACAGTGAGTGGAAAGGAAAGGATGCTACTTCTGCAAATAACACTGGGGAGATTAATCTTTCTGGTATATGAAAGGTTGTGTTCTGTTTGCCTTGTCAGGCAAAGTGGAAAATACTGATACAGTCAGTGGTATATCAATTTATGACAGGGTGCTGGAGATGTTTTAATACAGAGTAACTCCAAAAAGTGGGGTTTTTGGACTTTATTTGCCATGTGTTGATGGGAAAGCAGCCATTTAGAGAAATGAATATAGCTAATGTTTTTCTATCAAACACTGCAATGTTTGAAGAAATTAAAATTAAAAAAAAAAAAGGGAAAATAGATCTTGAGTTCCAGTTTAATAATAATGGAATATGAAGGCCAGATCGTAACTGTAGAAGTTCATTTCAGATTTAAATATTTAGCGTTTTCACTAGTCTGTGAATACAAGAAAATTTATTACATTAAGATGGAATTTAGATCTTTGACATGAAGCTGATATTTTCATAGTGTGAAAAATATCAAGCTGACATTATACTGTCTCATTTGATGACTTCCAAATGTCAGAGTGCAGTAACTTATTCATAGGGACCTCAATGTCTTGTGATAGTGTCAATTTAGAAGACATTTACATCGACTTTTTTTATTTAAACATGTAAAATGGAATATGCAAAGTGGATGAGGAGAAGGGGGAAAGACCAGGGGCAAGAAAGTTCTCAGTAATAGAATGAAGCACTTCTAAGGCTAACTTCCACAAAGCCTTCTGAACAGCTGCATGGACTGCTGCTTTGCAGCGCTTCTGACGGCTCCAGGCTTACGTCTGTGCATGTTATTCACTCGTTCCCCGCTCAGCATTTCTTGGTATTTCAACAGAACTTAAGGTATTAAAAATAGTATGATATGCTTTGCTGAATAAATAAGCCACCCATCCCTTGCTTCTAAGTGATTTGTAACAAACTTCAGTGACGCACGCCCGCTGCTCTCTAACCTTTCAGCCTCCTGTTGCGTTTCCAGCTGGGGGAAAGCGCCGAATAATACCCCTGAGATAGCTGTATGTGGTGTCATTCCTGTAGCAGGCCTCAGCCAGATGAGAACCATCCAGGAGAACCATCCACGCACCATCACTGGCTGTGAAAGAGCAAAGACCAGTTCCACAGAGGCTCTCTATGTTGTGTACTGATGCTAACAGCTGGGGCTGACCTGGAACTCCTTGCCATCACTGCTGCTGTACCAATGTCTATGTATGTGCACACCTGTGCACGTCAGCATCTCTCTGTGCGGTTTGCTCAGCCATGTGGAGCTGAAGCACAGCTCTGATGGCATTTCTGGTATGCCCACTGCATGCTGCGTTTCCAAGCTGAGCTGTGGCTGTGTGGGGCAGCTCCGTGTTCCTGCGTGCGCCTCGGCGGGAGGGGAGGACCGGCTTCTGGCACATGGGTGGTCATCACACTAACTACTTATCGAAAGCGCTGTTGTGCGGTACGGCTCTGCGTAGAGCATACCAGAAATTGTCATGTTAACTTTTATACCTAGGAACCTTTTTTAAAAAAACTGCCGGGCGGTGCCGGAGCGGGGGGACACCTGCACACAGCGCAGGGCCGCGGCAGGACAAAATGGCGGCGGCGCCACGCGGCAGCTGAGGCTCTGCTTCCGCCCCGGTGCAGCCTGCGGCCGGCAGCTGGCTCGGGGCTGGCCCAGGTCCCGCACCCTCGCACGTCTCTGCCCTTCTCACGGCCCTCCGCGCCCGCCTAAGCCGAGGGGAGGCGGAAGGCCGCGCCGTGCCACCGCCCCTAGCCGCAGCTGCAGGCGGGGCCCGCTGCGGGCGGGCGCGGCCACGTCGGAGCAGGCGCTGGAGGAACTCTCGGCCCTCGCCGCCATCTACTGCGAGCCGGGCGCCTGCGAGGTGCTGGCGACCTCAGGTGAAGGAGGCTGCTGTTCTGCGCGGCCCGGTTCCCGAGCGCTTCCCACTCGACCCGGCGCCGTCCCGCTGCCCCAGGCCCAGCGGCCGCTTCCACGGGGGTTCCGAGCGCCGCCGTCCGCCTTGGTGCGCTGCTGGCCGCCTGCAACGACAGGAGGCGCTGCGGGGCCGCTCCTCGCGCGGGGCCGGGCTGCGGCGCGGGCTGCTCGGGCGGCTGTGCTCGCTGGGTTTACGGCGGCGTGCGGCTGGCTGGTGCTGCGCGTTTGCCATAGGGTGGAAAGCGAGCAGATCTGTAGCGCTCCGGGATGCTGCAGGCCAGGAGCTCAGTGGCACGGGTTGTCTCGGGGTCCCCCTCCCCGGATCCCGGGCCGTGGCCCTGGGCAGCCTGAGGTGGGCTTCGGGCGACCGACCTGACGGCGGTCCCCGCTGCTGTGTGAACAGCCCTTGCTGCTTTGGTGTGCAGTGGCACGGGGCTGCCCTGCGGTGACTCGTTGTTAATGGTTACTAAGAAATTCATTGAATAAGCACCATTTTTTTATTTGAAAATAGCCGTCGAAATAGATCCCCGGAGAACAGTAGGCCGTTATTTGAAAGGAAGGCGGGTGGACAGCCTCCGATGGACGCAGACATCAGTGTGTGCATGGAGAGCAATCAGCCGGGGTAGCCTACAAGTGGGGCAGGTTTGTGTCTACATCTGCAGCGCACCTCTTGCCCTGGTTGTCTTTTTTTTTTTTTTTTTTTTTTTTTTCCAGTGGGCATTTAGAGGTGTATTTTTCAAATGCAATTGATGAAATGCCTCAACTGCGTTTTGTTTTCTAAAAGACATTGAGTTCAGATGCGTTATTTCAGGCGCTAATTGAAAATACAGTATCTAGGCTTAACAGATACTTGTAACAAATGTCAGCGTATCTGAACATTCTGTATGCACGGCTGTCTCTCCATCTCTGTGCTTCACATACAGCAGAATGTTTTCGAGTTAGTAAACTACCAGGATGTAAAAGGCTTAGAAGCCTTCCAGGGACATCGTGAAGTGTCATGGATGCTCAATACAGACAGGCTGGTATATCTGTATTAGTGTTGTGTGACCTTGTGAGGTTGTTCCCATGATATGTTAGGACCATGAATATCTGATTGATTTCCATTGTTTTCAGCTGGAATTGAAAAGCTTCCTTATAGGATTGTTGGAAGTTTTCTTATGTTGTGAATTTTTGTTTTGGAGTTATGAAAGCCTTAAGTTAGTCTAAAGTAAGGTTTTGCTGTATTTACAAACTTATATTTGCTTAATCTTTTCAAACCATAGAAATTGTCATTGACAAAACAGTGCATGGGGGTAACTTCAGTTAGGCTGATTCTGCTCTCTCATATGTTAAGAGTAATTTGGGTGTAGATCTGTTGAATCAAAAAGGAAACTATTGAGGGTTTATGGTTTTGAGGAATAGAAGAAAATGCTTTACCTCAGCTGCCCAGCATTTGACAATGAAATATTCAGAATATAAAATATGTTTTTAACCAAACCAACGTGTTGATGAATTTAAGTAAATTAATTATGGCATATCGTTCTTACCTTCCATGTCTGTTTAGAAGATTAGCATTAGAGATAGAAATCCATAATTTACTTTTAATCTGTTATTTTCTGGTTTACTTATCCAGTTTGCTATAAAATATATTTATATATTCCAAGCTCGTACTTTAATAGATGCCATTTTCTGAATATAAAAATAGTCTGCGTTTGTTGCACAAAATGCCTTTGGGCAGGAGAGGAGGGGGATATCTGTCTGGCTGTCATGGAACATAAGAAAAAATCTGAAGTATGCTAGAGCTAAATATACTGATAAGCGTGCTGCTGTGGGTGAAAATAGGTTAAAATGTATTGAGTTTAGTCATATTAGCACATTAAATGCCAATAGGGGTCATACCCAAACCTTTATTTCAGAAATAATCACCATTTTGCTGGGAAGGCAACTCAGACCTTGCACTGTGTGCAAACAAAGGATACATTTCTTCAGAGCCTTGTTACAAAGGATGACAAGTGTCACTCTTTGTTCTGCCGGCAGTCTGCAGTGCAGGCTGGTGCAGAATGTGGGCACCACTGTGCTTAAATAAACTTTGCACACCACATGTTTTGAACAAGTTCTCCTTTTTAAAAGTAAGTCTGAAGCAGATGTAAATGGACGTGGCCAGGCTCAGAGGAATCTGCTTTGGGACATGAGGCTGCACGGCTGCTCTGAAACCATCGTGCAGGGAAAGGTGTGAGGATGTGGCAGGCAAATGGGTGCATGCATGGCAGTGGCAGGTCCTTGCTGAAGGAGCAAGGTTGGCCTGGCTGCTGCTTCAGTTCACTTGTAGGCTTTGTGTTTCAAAGTATATAGGCAACATGGTGTAAAATGAAGCGGCTGTTGGGCAGGCATCAGGTGATACTGATGTTCAACCAGAGGCTGGGGGCCTGGCAGCTCATGCTATCATAATGCTGTACTTCAGTTATTGAGTTTGGAGGGTTTGCTCGTTTTATTTTGTGACTGCTCTGCCTTTGAGTATTCTTTGTGTGAATCAGGAAGGAAGTTTGGAAGCAGACCTTTGGCTAAGCTCTCTCAAGTACATCTGTCTGTCCAAGTCACTTTTAGTGTCTTTCACTTCACAGTGTTTAAATATAAAGTCACAGAGAGCGCTGAGGTTGGTTAGCGGTGTCAGCAATGCTAATCAGACATAATTCAGCTAACTGTCATGTGAAGGAAGGTAAGGTAGGGGGGGAAGGCAGCACGTCACTTCAAAAGAGCTCCTCAGAAACTCATCTCAGCTCTCGTCTCCCTTTCAAATCTGGCTTCTCCTGCCCTCCTAGAGTGAATCAGCCTGACACAGTAGCAATTTTTGTGAGAATTGGGGTGAAGTGTTTGGAATGCATCAAAGGGGTGAAGCAGAGAACATGTGAGGAAGTTCACCTTTTATCTGATACCTTCTGTTTTGATTGCAGAGGAGGTTAGGTCTTTGTCCCCTCTTTTCACATTATCGAGTTTTGTGTTGTTTTTTTTGTTTGTTTTTCCTGTGAAACAAGAAGGGGTTTATTGCAGGAATTACTGTCCTTTCATATTCACTGATTTAAATTATGTGATATATCAGGAGAATGTGGTCTTTTCTCCTGTATGCTTACGCTGTATACTTTTCATGTTGAATATCATTCTGTTCTGGAGTACACTGAGAACATGTTTTGAGTACCTATGCAGGTGTATAAACATGAACTATGGATATATATATGGATATATGTATGGATGTGTGTAGTATTTTGGATCAAATGTACAACAGAGATATTTTGATTGTCTCAGTCCCACTGTTGAGAATGTGGAGAAGTTGACAAAAGAACTAAATGTAATTTCTCAGAAAGTTGCAAGGGATGAAGAATTTGTAACTTTTTTTCTTTCCTTGTCTCTTTTCTGTGTTAAACTGCCTTTGAATGGTTAAATCTTCAAAAATACACAAGACCGTGCTGGCATTGATGGTAAAAGCCCTACTGTTTTTTCTAGGAGCACAGTTACAGCAGTGCTCTTTCTCTCTTTCCACTTGTCCTTGTTGCTGCTACTGAGCTGTAGAAGCCGACTTAAGTTTTTAGGACAATTCTTTGTTACTGGCTTGAGTAGACTTTAAAGGAGCCAAGAAGTGTGAATGCTTTTTGGAATGTGTTAAATAATTTTCCTTCCAGTATGATATGGAAGTGTTTCATTTTAGGATTTCCTGCAAGTGAAGCTACAGTTATTGGTTGCACCTCCTCATCCCTCCAAGAAAAACACTACGTACAGAATGACATTGAGTTGAATTGATAAAAGACGATAGCAAAACTTAATAATGTTTTTCAACTTCAAGCAAACTATTAATGTTTATTTTTTGTACTTTCCAGAAACAGATGGAGTCACATTTAGGATTCAAATCAGCGTGAAAGAGCTACTGGATGCAGATATACTTTTAAAGCTGCTGTTTCGTTTACCAGTCAATTATCCATCAACTCTACCAGAAATTTCTGTTAGCTCAGACCAGCTTACAAGGGCCCAGTGTATGGACATAAAAGATAAATTACTTGAACAAGCAAAGAAGCATCTTTCTGAACCCATGGTGCATGAACTGGTTCTTTGGATACAGCAGCATCTTAAGTATATCATTAAGCAACCAGCAACAGTTTGCAATGAAAAAACCACTTTGTCAAAAGGGGCAAGTACAGAGGATGCTGTCTGGATGCTCCTTTTGCATTTAGATCACATGAGAGCGAAGGCAAAATACGTCAGAACTGTGGAAAAATGGGCTTCAGATCTAAAACTGACTGGAAGACTGATGTTCATGGGCAAGATAATATTGATTCTTCTTCAGGGTGACAAGAGCAACATTAAGGTGCAGGAACAATGAATGTTGACTAGTTCTATTGATTTACTACTGAAACCTGTGTCTGAATATTTTCTGTGTGTTATTCCAAGATTAGCAATTTTGGAAGCAGGTTGATCAATAGAAGAATAGGAAGGCCCAACAACTTGATTCCATGTTTAAGAAAAATAAGTTATTCTGTAAGAAAGAAACCAGTGAAGCCTGTGGCTCATATCTTGTTGGATTCTGCTCTTGCATTCCCCTATGTTTCCTGACTGTAATATGCTAGATTCAGTCTCCTTGTTTCTGAAACACCCCACGAAATAACCTGAAGCCAGGAAATTTGTGATCAGAAAGTAATAACAGATACTAGTAGTTAATTCCTAGCTGTCTTCTTCCTTGTCACCAAGTACAGTGGTGCTCCTACTGTACTTTTGAACTTGTGTTTATGTAGTCCTGCTGCATTAGGCAGGCCTTATAAGGTGATACTGGAGGAGAAAGTTTTAATCTTTCAAACTCAATGTTTTCTAGATTATTCAAGACTGTGCTCAGCTTCAAGGTGATGTGTTGAAACAGGCATGCATTTTTTGGGATGAACTTTCAATATGTGATTACTGTGTTCTAAAAAGATCTTTGTTTCATATGGATTTCTGAGTTTCACTAAACTTCAAAGATGCTGGCTGACATTTAATATTTTGTTCTTTTTGACACTTAGGAGTACTTGATTCTTCAGAAAACTTCTAAGGTAGATGTGGACTCGAGCGGAAAGAAATGCAAAGAGAAAATGATTAGTGTACTGTGTGAGACAAAAGTACAGTCACAGCATAAAAGGTATAATTTAATACTGTTGTGGATAGAAAAGTAACTGAATCGATAATTACATTCTGACAAACCGAGGCATATTCATGAGTTTCTCTTGTACAATGTAGATTTCAGATGTTTGAAGTCAAAGAATATTCAACGCTGGATGAGCTACAAAAGGAATTTGAAACTGCAGGACTTGCAAATCTCTTCTCTGAGTTTGTGCCTCCTCTCTTAAAATAAAAATAAAGCACTGGACTCCATGAGAAAAGTAGTATTTGACTGCAGATTCTTCTGGGAAATAAAGACTATTTTGACAAGCAAACTTATCTACAAAAAAAGAAAAAGAAAAAAACAACCAGGAGTTGCAATAATGAGAAAGCAACATATATGTTAAGAATTGATTTTTTGACTTCTGTGCATACTATAACTTTTTCAGAAGAATGTGGAATTAATTATGATATTTGCATGATAAATATGAAATATTAGGAGAAAACAGTGTTACAATAATAATCTTTCAATTGAACTGTTTTACAGTCCTGATTTTCAATGCTTTGTTTTTCATCTCTTGTGATGGTGGTCTTCCATAATGGCTTGCTAGAAATTGTGACTAATTTCATTTTGGAAGCCTATGTAAAGGTATTTTTCTAAAAAGCATAGCAAACAGATCTTAGCATGAGAGGACAGCATACACTTAACAACCTTTAGGTGTTTGTCTGCTAACATTTCTTTCTCTATTTACTTGAATCTATAAATACTTGAATGTTGATTTAAAGAAAGAGCTCATGTGACTTCGGATGTAAAAATCCTAGAAATGTTTCTCTTAATGTTAGTTTTTATTGTAAAATGTATAAAACCGCTGAAGTGGAGAATTTAAATTGATTTAAAAACTGTATATCGGCTGAGATGAAAGCCAGTTGTAGTGTTTTCTTTGGTGGTTGTATGTCCTCAGCCAGATCTTTAAAATCCTCTGGTGTTCTGGAAATAGAACAGTAAGGAACTTCGTTCCAACCCATATCAACATCTTGGCTGTTTAAGTCTAGCTGGGGCCTCACCCAGCTTGCATATAAATCAGCTGAATATTCTTTCTGTTAATTTTGGGAATTGAATGGCATGATTTTCCTTGTCACATGATCTCAAGTTGTGTATGACTGCAAAAGTAACTGAGGCATATAGTTACGGCCATCTTTCTTGCAAGTGTAGGTGCAGACTCTTCTCAAACTTCTTCCTCACTACTGTAAAAGCTATGACATTTAGCTGCTTTAGAAAAGCCATTTGTGGGGTAAGCGGTTCCAGTCACACTTGGTTGTAAACTCGTGTTTACAACATTTTCTGGAACGTTACTTTTACCCGATGCCTTCTTATTTAACTCTTTGGACAGGGCTTTTGAAAGAAGCTATGTGATTTTTGTATTCCGGGAGCCATAGAAAGAAATACAGAAAACAATCACAGTGCCATTATCACAGGTGACTTTTTTACTTACTAACTTACACTGGTCAAATAAACAAGTCTAGTGCAGAAAGTACTGTGGTATTTATGCTTGATTTGATGTGCTTCAGAAGAATTACAAATCTGATCAGCTTGATACTATTCAGACAGCAAAGAAGAACATGAAAACTGATGTCAGTCTGATTCTGTCAAAGCAAACGTTTTTGCCTACCCGTCAATCAGTCACTTATTTTGAAGGATAGGAGAGATATCTTGTGTTCAGACAAGTAAACAATATTTTTAAAGGTTGTTCTTTTGGAAGAATGTTGCAGCTGTCTGTTAACAGATGGTATGTTTGCATTTATTGGTAAAAGAGATGGGTAAGCCTGTGAGCCCCTGGGGCACAGAAGTCATCGAAATGCATGCTGTGGTGCATGTTCCTCCCTCCAAAGGAAGTGAAGGAGACATAGAAATACAAAACGCGAGGAAACGAAGCCAAAGCTCCCGAGAATTGTTAAGAGGGCATGTCTCAGTGTCTGAAAAGTAAGTGAAATATATATACTTACTGGAGTAACACATTTTACTTGCAAAAAAAGGAAAAAAAAAAAAAAAGAGAAAAAACTGCACAGAAAAATGTTTTAACAAATAAAAAGCTAACTTTCTTGTGAATATTACAATATAAACAATCTTTGAACAGTTTGTTTAGTAAAGTCTTATTTCCTGTGGACTGGCTTGTGTCTAAATTGTATGCATGAAACCTTTCCTGTAGGCAAGGCACTCATGACTGCTTTCCCAGGGGGATTTCCCTGTGTCTGATACTGGCTATGATCTGCATAAATCATTAAAGGATCAGTAATATTTTTCTTCTCAGTGTGCTACCTGTGTTCATCAAACCTGTTAGAACATCCTTCAATCGTTAACCTCATTTTACTTGGAATGAGTAGAATTTAAAACTTAAAGAAAAAGTGTGGTAATGCATGCTTCCTTATGGGCAGCACAGCCATGTAACCATGCCTTGCTGTGGAAGTCAGGCTGTAATGAAAGCTGTAGCAGTAGGACTGATGACTTGATAAACAAGTTTTTTTAGGATAAAACTGTGGTTTAATTGGTCTCTATGAATCCCTTGTTTTATTAAGTGTGAAGAAAACAAAAGATGGAGTAAGAAAGGTACACTGACACTGGGGTAAAAACTCAAACTGAACATCAGCCCTACTTGCACAGTTGTTCTTATGTGAATGCATTGCATCCAGAGCATCTGTTCTAATCTTAATGAGATGTGCTCTGCTCCACAGAAGGATGTGCTTCCCCCAGCCTTGGGTGGGCGCCTGTTATTTCCAGAGATGTATCTAGATGTCTCAGGCAGGTTTGTTACTATAAGGCATGTTAGAGGAAGGCACTGGAATACAACTCCCTTCTTTCTTTATCATCTTTGAAAACATTATTTGTAATATGTATGGACTGTAGATAAGGGTTGTAATTGATAGATCTTGAAAAGGAATCTGTATGAGCAGCCAACCAGGATAGTTTCATGGCTTCAGTGGAAGTAATGCAGAGTTCCAGATGAGGAAAGTACTTTTTCTGAGGGGCATCATCATCATGGGATTTTTGGGAGTTTGTAAGTCTCTTTCCCCTCTCCACCTATTCAGTCTCATTCAAGATTATAGGTTCCTCCCTCCCTGCTCCCTATTTGTTTTTGTTATTCCAAGGGAGATGAGACACTGTAAGATGAAAATAACTGATTAAAAAATTAATTGAAAGTGGATTTGTTGTTTTTTTTTTGTGTGTGTGTGTAAAGCTAATTTTTGTATTTCTATAGTTTTATGTCGTTTTCCCATAACAAGACTGTATCTTATTTCTGTATGAATGACACACAACATTAGAATGAATTATGCACAGAAAAGCTGTAATGAGCCTCAAATTAAAAACAAACAAACAAACAAACAACAAACGAAACCAAGGCATGGGGGAAAAAATGTTCTGTTTACATTGTTTCTTTTAGAAACAGTTTAATAAAATGCATGTATGGATGATTTAAAACCCAATGTCCCTGGTTTGTTCAGCTTATCTGTGAAAATAAGAAACATAATGGTGTTAGAGTTCATTTGAAGTAAGATGATGAAATGTTGCACACAGTGTATTTCTCTCAGAGTTTAACACGGAAATGTCTTGTATTATGAACATAGTTGCAGCAATCAGCTTTCATATATCTCACAATATTACTAACCATTATTATCCTAGTTTCTTGTCTGTAACACATGAAGTGCTGGCTGCACTCTGTTCTGGTTTTTGTATTTTGTAGGTATACTTAATTTTTTGTTCTATAATATCATGAACGTTTATGTGCTTAAATATCAGCATAAATGGAGCTTGAAATGTAAATACACTGATAGCATTTTGCAGTTAGTGTTCTGAGCTATTGTCACAGATAGGCTTTTACATCAACATTAGTTCATGTTTTCTAACCCCATAATGTAAACCTGAAGCAAAGACAACTTTTCAGTGAGACTGAAGAAATTGCCTAAAAGAGATGTTTTCACATTCATTTAAGAAATTCTTTGTACTCTAAAAATGAATACCTTGCGTTTTCAGTCGAGTAGGTATTCAGATGCTTTAATTTTATGCTAATAAAGTAGCAATCATTACACTTTTGATTTTCTTTGCATTCTTTAAACAACATAATGCAAGTGATTGGTTTATATCCTCCATTAGAAAATGGCTAACTGGAATTGTGGTAAACATTTTATCAGTATTTCCCATGATATAATAGCTTGGATGGGAAGAGCCACTTTAGGATTAAGCTTGAGACAAAAGATTTCTGCATAAGAACAACGTTTTCTTATTGTCCACTCTGATGTTTCCGAGGATAAGAAATGACCGATTTATATGGGAAATAGTGAAATGATCACTGTTTTCTTGAGCAGACCTCAGCAGGTGATTCCCTGTTACTGCTGTAGGTCTGCACAGCTGCTGGCTGAAGGCAGGATGCTCTCTAGGCCCGGGTGGGGCCACTCCTGGTACAGGTGACACTCCTGCTACTCGCAAGGAACACTGCAGTGCTAAATCAAGGCCATGATTTTAAGACCGAAGGTGCTAAAATCATTTGTGTACACGTGATGTTCTTGGGGTGCACTTAGAAAAAAGAAAATGCAATATATTTTTGTTGGTCTCTGCTTGAGCACTGAATTTGGAGTATTTTACAGAAGCGGGGAACATTTTTGTGGAAGTGTATGCTATGAATACCTTTCAGCAAAAATAGTAGAGAAAGCAGTTAATTTTTAAGCAAATGGAGATAATCGTAAGAGTGCTGCCCTTGTGAGAAGTTGAAGAGAAGTGGAGCTGTATGGATAGAGCTGTGCCAGAGAATGGTTTCTATTTGGTAGAAGTGGAGGTGTTAGAAAGGAACAGACAGCAGCAACAAGAACTGGTGATGTGGCTCTCAGAGAAGCCAAGAGAAGGATTTTTTTTTATTTTTTTATTTTTTTTTTATGGATTACTCCCAGGAAAGAGTTTGGGGGATATAAGCAAAGATGTTGCTACTGTATCTAAGCTTCAAATGGAAGTGCTTGAAATAAATGTGTAGCTTTATTGTAATTTTCTCTTTTTTAGCAGAAACAGCCTGCACAACGGAGAACGAATAATGGAAGGTTTCATGGATATAGAGATGACTAACATAGCTCAAGAGCTGTATGTTGTGCAAAGGAATTGAAGCAATTCTTAGAAATTTTCCTCAAATGATCAAGGGATGATAGAGGCTTTGTTGAGGCAATAACCTGAAAAAGTCTTACAATGTGGGGAAAGCAGGCGTTCCAGGTGGCTGGAAAGATTGGAGAGGTGAGAGGCAGCTTTCAGGGGCTGGTTGCCTGCAGAGCACAGGCATTCTGCAAAGTAAGGACCAGGAGAGTTGGCAAAAGAAATGTCTGCTTGTGTGTGGGATCAGAATACAGGTAAGTGTTTAATTTTTGTGAGACTTTCTGCATAGATATTATAGAAACCTGGACTGGAGATGTTGTGTTGTTCTTCTCAATTATGCAGTGTTTTGGGAGGCTTTTGTGCTTTGGTTCCACATAGATTGCAAAGGCAGTCTCAAATGATAACAGAGTGGTCGGTGATGTTACAGGGTTTAACTGCTGCAAACCTGTTATAGGTCAAAAATTTTGTATGGGTAAGGGGTAAGATCCACCCTCTCAGTATGATTTAGGCATGACATATCTAGTAAGAACAAGGTGAGAGGGAAAGTAATAGCTTTTTACAAAGGGAAAGTTAATCTCTTACTTATGTAGTTCATATATTTTTCCTGTAAATTCTTTGCTGAGTTGAAACAAATGACTTGTGGATAATTGTTTAGTGGCAAAAAAGTTTTCCTGCCTTAGGCAGAAAGTGTGATTGAAAGTCCTAAGAGGGAAGGAACTGTTACGTTTCTTGTGAATCTGAAGTAGGAATGTGCTACAGCTCTCAGAATATGTCTTGCTAACAGCACATCATTAAAAGTGCTGAAGCGAATGTTACAAAATTTCAGGGCCTTTTTAGGAATTGTAACAAGGAGGTCTAAGTTTTTTCTAGGTAGAAATGAGGATTTTTATTCCTGAGCCAGCAGCAAGAGATTATATTTATGCCATGTAGTTGCCACCTCATCATTTTCCAATAGTGCAAAGGAAAAAAAGTTTGGGATGTACTTTTGGAAGCACATCTTCAAGGCGTAACAAAATTTTTAACAGATTTGTAGATCACACTTGTAATTTTTTTTTTTTTTCTTTTTAAAGCATTTTAAGAAGTCTTTTTAAAGACTTCTTAAGACCTGAATGAAAGATTTTGTTGTTGTGAAACAGGCTTAGCTTTATGCTGGCTGCTGGCAAGCAGAAGAGGAACCGGAGGCCTGGGAAGGATTACTTCCATGGCAAAACATAGCTTGTGGCAATCGGAGTTACAACTCTTAGGTCATGCATGGCTGTACTTGAAAGGCTACTGTAAGGGCAAGGGTTTTTTTTATTACTTTTTGCTTACTAAGGCTGGAGGGGATGCTGGAACACGCAAAACCTTTGAACAATAACTGGTATGTGAACTACAGAATCTGCAGCACAGCTCAGGTTTTTGCTCCAGGACAAACATGATGTGAATTGTTCCAAAATGTGGAACTTTACCTTTGGATACAAAGTGAAAAAGATAAGTTTTCACTGCCAAACAGAAACCCATGGCGCCTCAGAAACAGGAGAAATAGAGTTGTTGCACATTCTGTTGAACTCCAGAAATGTTACATATGCTACATGGACATTATCCTGTTAAATGTCCTAGTTATTACAGGGGTTGTTTCAGTGTGAGAGCATTTCCAGCTCTGACACTAAAGGCCATCTGAGGGCAGGAAGACCTCACTCCAAAGATCTTGCTATGCCTCACAATCCTGCATTCTTACTGTGAAATAACTTTCCTTTTGCCAAGTGTAAGAAAACGACCAGACACAGAGAGAGAACTGCACAGCCAAACACAGTGTGGGATACAGGCTGCCAATCTGTGAGAAGCCATACACTGTCACTTATATAAATGGGACAATAATTGTTTGCTCCTCTTCAGAAAAGCAGTTTATGCAGTCTATATGAAGGTGAATTATTCAATGCAGTGCAAGGAAAGTTCTTCTATTTCTATCTGAAAGCAATTTAATGTTAACTGATGAAACCATTAGAAGATACCGAGCCCAATATGAATCCCTTTGGTGGAATATACGACATGGAGGAGTGGCTTATCTCACCAAAGCCTGCCTCCATTTCCAAGGTAATGTTTTTTTTTCACTCTTTTTTTCCCCGCTTTCTTAATAATGGAAGAAGGGAGAGGGACAGATCTGCTAGAATACTGCCCTTATCATCTTTTCAGCCTATGCTTATGTGGAGAGGAGTAGCTGGGAGTTGAAAGGGGAAAAATTTGGACCATTGTGCTTTCTGTGAGATAAAGAGTATTTTAGAATCCGTTGTCTCATGCATGAAACCCAGCAAAAGGGAATTATATTAGCATAAAGAAGAGTTTGGAGGAAAAACAGATCTTAGCCTCAGGAGCCTGCTTTTGGTTCTTGGTTTGTGCTTTGTGTGTCTTTGAAAATGAGTGCTGAAAGGGGACTGTGAGCCATGTGGGCTCACATTCCTGCAGTGACCCAGAGAGGTGAAAGCACCAGTGGAACGATCTATTTTAAATGTTTAAGGAATTAATAATTACTGAAAAGTGCAGGTTAAGAGAAGAACAGGCATCTTCTGTGTTGCATTACTGACAGATCCAGCACTCATGGGAGACATTTGTGACAACAGTCTTTCAGTGGGTGACATTTATGTACACGATAAAGAGACAAGACCACTTTATGTAAAATTTACAAGGAGCTTTCTAATGTCATCAGTTTTCTTAGGCTTAAAAATCCCTTGTCTAATAAAATTAACTCCTTGAATGCAGCGATCGGTTGTCCGGGGTTGAGGAGGATAGGTCCACAGGTGTGTGCAAGGTGGGATATTGCTGCTGGCTGTGACTGCTGCTCTTGGACTGAGAGTAGCAAAAGAAATAAAGGGAAATGTGTGCCATTACATGTTTTTCTGCAAATATGTCTGGGGGCTGGGAAGGGAGGGGTACCTGTTGGCAGTATTGGACCCAGCCACAGTTCTATTGAGTTCACAGTGTAGGATCTGATAATAAGTTTAAATAGAAGGCCATAAACATTGTGTCTCTTGAAAGCAGCAAGACGTTCTGTCTCTTGAAACCTTATAATAAACTGAATCCAGTAATAACT